AATAACAAACAAGAAACTTATTTTCTTTCTTGTCTTCGAGTGACCATTCACCCCTCTTCCAATTCAGACAGTTAGAAATTTCTAACATCCATAAAAGACAGACAAGTTTTTATTAATAGCACTTTATTTACACGAAACTGGACTTAAATAAAGTGCACTGACTTCTGATGATGGAAAAAAACCAGGATGTATTATCCTCTCGATATCCTAACTGAGATAGTGAAAGTGTAGTTAGAATTCCACCAGCTTCCTGTCATGAGATGTTATAAAATGTACTGGAGTTGTAAGAAACGATAGTAGTAAATTTATTTGAGATTCCAAAGCACGAACGAAATACATTACATATACCAGGTGTCCCATGTTAAAGGAAAAAGTTTAATATCTTAAAAGCTAATCTCTGCAAAAAAAAGTTTCAATTAAAAATACTGTAGTATTTCAGAAATACTAGCCCTCCAGGACCATCCGAAGGGTAATTTAATTTTCTAAATGGTAAGCTATTTTGGATATCTTTCGTTTGAAACTTTTTTTTCGAAAATATAAAGTACCTAGGTAATTGAATTATTTAGAAAACACTATTTTTATAATGTGCAGCTCATTTTCCCCTTCTTCTTTAACGCAAGTTTGAAGCATTCTAGGCTGCTGGATGGTTTGTAACATTTTTTTGGTACATTCTCAAAACTCTGCTTCTGTCATCTTCAGAAAGGTGCTGATTCAACATAATGTAATATGGATGATAATGAGAACTTAAAAGTACTCGTATATAAACTGTAGATTTGGAAAAATCGAGGATCTTCATTATGTAAGTTGCGTCTTATGCACCTACGAGTTAGTTGTCCACGTTTAACTTTTCTTACTATTTTAAATATTCTAAATGGAGTTGGATGATAAATTTGTAGCCCTTATGGCATTCGTCTAGAATCAAAATCATTAGAAAAGCAATTAGACAAATAAAGATTGAAAAGATAAATTCCTTTACTGAGCAATCCTCTCTATACCCTAATGTATAAGAGTTTCATGTCAACAGTATACATTTTTGAAAAAAAGTTTTCATACAAATACAGTTTACCATTTGAAAAATCAAAGTTGTCCTTCGGATGTCCTTGGAACGTTACGATCTCTGGGAAAATAATATAACAGTAGAGTAGTTCATCCCCCAATGAATGCTACTATTTCTATTTAAACCATTTTATGCAAAAGTAATCATTTTCCGAGCACTTCCGTTAAATGAAATTAACATAAAAATTACGGTAGCTTCGATAGCTTAATTTTTTGATTGACAATTCTTTGTTTCGAATTATCAATCAAAATAGTAATAAATAATTAAAGAAACAATATCTACCCTATAGTTGACTACATTGGGAAAAAACATGGACTCTGTGTGAAACGAATTAACTTATGTGGTTTCATTACACAACCAAACAGCTGAGGTATGCTGGAGGCAAGTAATGCAATTTAAAGAAAATTACAATTTTTATATCGAACCGTAAGAAAAATAATTAGTAGTTCACCTTGCCTAGATCCAGTTCAGCTGTTATGATTACAATTATTATTATGATTAAAGTTAATACTTGAGTAATTGTCCAATCCAATTTTTATACGGCTGGGCTGCCAATAGTTGTCAAATTGTAAATAAATTTCACAGCCGATATTCATCTTTGCCGACAATCAAAATGTTATCTGTTGATTTTGTTTACAGGAAGTTATTATACACTTTTACATTTAACACTGTCTATTCAAAATGTTTCAATACGAATAAGATACTTTCTTTAAAATCATATACAAGATCTGTTGAGAAAATAGTGATATGCGGTTGGCAGCATGGCGTTGCGTGTAACCTCCCCTGTAACCACATGTTCTTGGATTGTTCATACCCCATTTATTTCTCGTGATATTGTTAAGTGGGTGCAACGAGTTTAAGTGTTAGTGACGACTTTTGAAGTGTGCGATTTTCTGGAACAATGATGTTACACAAAATTTTGCGTGAGACTGGGGAAAATTTTCATGGAAACGTTTCAATTTTTGAAACAAGGTTACGGAGATGTTGCTCTGAGTCGTATGCAATGTTTACCAATGGTTTTCATGATTTAAAAGTGTCATCAGTCAATTGAAAATGATCCTCGACCAGGAAGTCCTTCGACGTCAACTGATCACTCCCATGTTCAAAAAGTCAAAGATCAGGCGCGTGCAAATCGTCGATTAACTGTCAGAGAAACTGCAGAAGAGGTGAGCATCTCAATTGGATCATGACATGGAATTTTGACTGTTCTTCGTTTGATGACCAAATAGAAAGAAAATCGTGTGGACCCTTGTCGACAACTCCTTGAATAATCCATTGTCGATGAAACATTAATTCAAAGGATCACAACGGGAGACGCAGCTGGGTTTGCGGGTTTTTCAATCGATTTGCGAAGGATATCCAAGCCCCAAGAAAGCACGTCATTCTCGATCCAATGGCAAAGTGATATTCACTGTTTTTTCGACTTCAATGGAATTGTGCATTTTGAATTATTACCTTAATATGGAACAGTGAACCGTGTGTAGTATCAAGGCATTTTACAACGGTTACGTGAAAAAATCCGCAAAAAGAGATCAGACTCATGATTCTTGCAAAATGACAATGCGCCAGCACTCAGCTTTATCAATTCGTTAGTTTTATGCCAAGAATCAGATTACTGTCCTCCCTCACCCTCCTTGCTTGCCAGACATGACTCCTTGCAATGTTTTCTTATATCTGAAATTACAATTAGTGCTGAAAGGACGCCTTTTCAAACTATTGATGATATTCAAGCAAATTCCATTTCAAATGAAGCTATCCAGGACAGCTTCGCGAAATGGATATACTGCTGGGAAAAGTGTGTGAATGGGGAGGGGAGTACTTTGAAGGGGATAAGAACCAATAATGTATAAAATTAATAATAAAGTTTAAAAAAATACAGTTCGGTTATTTTCTGAACAGACCTCATACACGTTTAAAAGTATTATTCACAGTTTAATCTTTTGTTGTTCGGAGAGCTATTAGTTGATTAGTGAATGCTTAAGTGAGTGAAAAAGAAAGTACTTTCAACAGGCAATCAGACAATTTAAATTTATAATTCTTTCTCCAAAAAACCATCCTACACGTTTCATATATACTCAAGATAGTAAATATAGGAAATTCTACAAAACAGAGAATATTTTGAATCTGTTATCAATTTAACTTGGAAAAAAATTATTTCCCAAAACTATTTTTCAAAATAGCATTATTTTTCATATCAATTTGCACAACAAATATCTATGTGTACTTACTAGTTGAAATGAATGATTGATAATTAGGTAATTGATAAATATTAATTAATTAATAATTTAATTTGTAAATTGATAACTTAATACATTTAATTAACACATTAATTGAATTAACACAATGAATAAGTTAAGTAGATGCATAACATTTATAAAATTTATACAATGTCAATGGTTTTTAGTTCTGATTATTACGATTTGTAAAAAATTATATTTAACATACGCTGATTTAGTGATTGCAAATTGGTCTCGTTTAGATAATAACCCATTTTTTAATTCGTAGAGAGGTAAAATTTAAAAATGAACAGATTAGACTTTTTCAAAATTAAATACCTTAGTATCTAAGTTTCACAACCGTAAATCGAAACATGTGTACTGCTATGTCATTATTATTTACAATATAAGGACTAACAGAACACTTGTTCTTGGCTTGAGGAAAAATTCAAACTAGATGTCAGTCAGGCGTGATATTAAAAAAAATACCTGTATAAGTACAACGAGAATGATTTTCTAGAGGTACAAATATCTACCTATAATAGCAATAAATAATTATTTCACTAATAAGGCCCCCTTACATAATTTTCTCGTCGTAGATACAGAAGTTCTCCGACAATGTATTTAAATATTTATCTCTTGGTAGCAATTAATAAACAATTCAAATTCCATATCCTTATCACCGAAATAATCAGTGGAGATAAAACGTAAACTTCTTAAATTTGAATAGCAGATTAAAACTATACCCTTGTTTTGGAAAGAATGCGACATTATCTCAGGAAGTTTATGGGTAGGTAGGTGCCTATATCATAGCTATTGTTGAACTTTCTATTGGATAAATTTGCTTTGGAAAGCAATGAAAATGATAAACATAAGGGTAAACGATAAACTGTTGTTTATGTAGGTAGGTAGTAGACACAAAAGTTACAACTTAAGTCAGTAAAGTTTAAAACGAGTTTAAAGTATGTTGGTATATAAATACTTTAATACATAATGAGAGACCTAATTTGATTTTTGTTATTATGTTAACTGGTACCTAATAAAATGTTGCCAATTGTCAGTTTCCACCAGAATTTTAGAATTTAAAAATTAAAGATTTATATTTACAAACGAAGGTTTTAGGCCTATGAAAAGGTTCGATCGATTTTCTCGAAAAGTAGGACTCTGAAGTCAACCAACATGCCAGTAAATTAATATTTAATGGTACGTAAGTATAAAAAATGTATTAGGCATAGGCATGTTAAGGGGTCATCAACTGCAAACTGATGTCATGATTGGCATGTGTATAATATTGAATGATAGATATTATTTATTCCCTTATTTATTAATAATATAATAAAGTAGGTAATTAAAAAAAAATAAAATTTAAAATAAATTTTTAACAAAACACAAGAATAAAATTAAAAATAAATATATAACCTAGTAGTATAACTTATTTAAAATATCAAATTTTAAACAGAGTGCAATCCCATTATATGAACAAGAAACCAAGTAAAATATATAGTCTATTAATTTTTAAAATATAGAAGGTACTGTTCCGGAAAAACAAAATTTGAAACTTTTAACTAACTACCTACATTATGAGATGTCGCCAAAACAGCCAGAACTAAATCACGTCGCCTCGGGAAATTACACGGGTGTCTTGATCTCGCGGACTAGGTTACCTACACCCGTAGTGCGAAATAATACGGATTTCGGTTTAAACAAACCAAGTGAAAGTCACTCACCTGGATTTCCAATAAAATCCTCTTTTTCCAGCAAAGCTGTCGGTGTCTGGAAACCGTAGGCTGGTAACCAGGGATTATTTCCTGAATTTAAATCCACAGGTTGTCCTGGCCAGTCGCTGAAGGCGATATCTTCCATCTTCAAGAAGTCATTCACAGCAATTCGCAGGGTCATCCAACGGTAACACACGCGAGAAACTGTCACATTTCACATTTCAATTTGACGAAAAACGCACCTAGAAAGAAACTTTACGCTACAAATTATAATTACAGTTGCGGGGAAAATTTTTGCGCGTTAAACATCAAGTAGGTGCACTGTCACCGACAACTAGATAATTTCACCACTCTTCCGTCTTCCAGCATGTCTTATCTGATATCTGTAATTATTGTTCTTCTAGTGTAAATAAAACTGCGAAATATATATCACTAATCACACCTCGTAACGAGTCAATTTTTAAATATGCTGCACTACAAACCTCAAAACACTCGAATTTAAACGCTGTACCGCCACTGTATTAAGGAGTGCACTGTATTTAAGCCGTTTTTTGAAACTATTACCACTTTCCACCCCTTTTTCACACACCGCGTTACTTTATTTGTATTAAAACCGAAGCGTCCACTTTCCTATGGCAACAGCTCTAGAGTTCGGCAACAATAAAAAACAATGAACAAGTTGCTATGTAGCGGACGTGGAGTCGCGGCCACGTGATTCGCACCGGCCAATGGGACGTCCCGACAGGTTGTTCAGCGGCTTCTTGATCTGCACTGCATTTCACATGTTTTCCAAGTATTCAAAGGCAAGTTTACAAAGCACAGGTAAGAGTACGTGCGCGGCGAAGAAGCACATTGAAGAATACGCGTTTTGGTATTTCGGAGACGGTGAGAGGCTAATTGACCCATATATTTCCGGCACGTAGGTCCGTCCGCAGATTTTTAGTAGTACGTTTGAATGATATAGGCAGATGTCTCGTTGTGGATTGTGGGTTTGTCTCTGGTCTCCGATTACCGTTGTCTGAAATGACCCTAATTAATCAATACCAAGAAACGCATTACGGGAAATGTACGTGCTGTCTACGCACGTTTCCTTCAATAGTTGTCCTTAATATTAGTTTTAAGTGAATTATTCCTTAAACGATATCAGGGTCTAAATAATAATTGGTCACTCAAGTGAAATATATTTGGATAGACCAATAGAGTGTAGAATAAGGTGACCTATTCGTAAATATACAGGGTGTCCGGTAAGTACCTCCTAATCTCTCGGGAGTGTATAGGGGAGGTCAAAATAAAACTAGTCCTTCCTATAATTTTTTTTCCTAATGTGCCCCCTAACGGAGTTATGGGGGGTCAAAGGGGTACCTAGAAATTAACGTTTAGGGTTATAACTTTGAAACCACCCTGTATATTTTAATAAAATTTTCGTACGTTGTATTACACATGGAGCTCTACGATTTGATGCTAAAATCAACTTTTTGCTATTATCAGGTGTCCAGAAACGGACTGGCCCTATCACAATTTTTCTCAAAATTTTGACAGAAGTAATTTTATCAAACTGAAAATATTATTATTAGATACTCTGAAGGTTTTTCTTTAAAAATGGTACTCTTTATTTATTTCGAAAAAATGAACGGTTTGCGAGATAAATCGGTTTTGAAAAAAATTGGTAACAAATACAACAATTAAAATTTATTTTTTTTACATATTATTTCATGCATTTAATTTCTTTAACTTTATCAAGTCCAGAAATCTTTGAACGGGTTGGCTATACTTTATGAGCAAGTAGTGACCAATTAAAAATAACATTTGAAAAATAACTTACTTACAAGACATGCAACAAAGAACATTCAACAATGAACAAAGGTACCTAAATGTTACTTCGGTAGATGTTCAAAATGAGCACCCCGTACTTCAATGCACTTTCTAATCCTACGAATGTTTTCCCGGTGCACTTGAAATAATATTCCGTGATTATTGCGGAGATGGTCACAGTTCTGTGTTAGCCTCAGCAGAAGTTCCTCTCTACTATTTACGGGTGTTGAATAAACGTTATTTTTTAAATGACCCCACAGAAAAAAGTCTAATGGGTTTAGGTCGGGCGACCTAGGTGGCCATAATACAGGTCCGCCTCGACCTATCCATCGATCACCAAAAACATTCGTCAGATGTTGACGTACTAAACGATCAAAGTGGGGTGGTGCACCGTCATGCATGTACCACATTTCAGTTCTTATTTGAAGGGGCACTTCTTCTAACAAAATATTTAGATTTTCCTCTAAAAATTGCAAATAAAGAGCACCATTAAGTCTTTGCTCCAGAATAAATGGACCAATCAAATGATTCCCGATAATGCCAGCCCACACATTCACCATAAACCTTTGTTGGTAGCGAGTTTGAACTAAAGCGTGAGGGTTTTCTTCATCCCAGACATGTAGATTATGCGAATTAATTATGCCGTCTCTTGTAAAACCTGCTTCATCGGTGAACAAAATAGATGTACCAAAATTATGATTCCGAATATGATGCTGTAAAAACCAATTGGCGTATTGAAGTCTTTTTGGATAATCATCTGGAGACATAGCATGTACTTTTTGGATGTGGTACGGGTAAAGCAATTGTTCTTTCAGAGTTTCATGTACAGCCCATTTTGTAACATTGTTTTGCGCCGCAAGCTTCCTTATGCTATTTGAAGGATTATTAGCAACGTCTTCCAATATTTGTTCCTCTACATGAGGGTCTCGTACTCTCCTCGGGGCTCCTGCTCCACCACGGCGTGGCAAAAAGCTTCCTAAATAAAGGATTCGGAAGAAATTAGTTTCACTAACGTTTTTCACTTTTTTTTTTTACCTGTTTCTCTTAAACTACGATCAACTCTTTCAAAAGTTTTTGGACTCGGCAAATGTCGACCCGGAAACCTTTCCTCATAAAGTCTTCTTGCCTCCACGGAGTTGCATAATGCTTCCCCATAAATTAGGTGCATATCAGCATATTCTGCACAGGAATATTCTTCCATTTTTAAATGTTATTTCTAACGGCTTAAAACGAATACCACAATAAAATTGAATTTTTATTCTGTCACGCGCCTTTGACAAGTACTTTAAAATCAACAGGGTCTAACAACGAAAACAATAGAAAAGAACTCCATGGAGACAAGAGCAATAATAATTTGTAGATGTATTTTGGTCATAGATGTTGATTTTACAAGAAACGGCATTATTCATTCCCTTAATTCACCACCAGTAAATGTTTATGGTGAATCTGTAGGCTGGCACTAGCGGGAATGATTTTATTGTAAAAAAATAAATTTTAATTGTTGTTGTATTTGTTACCAATTTTTTTCAAAACCGATTTATCTCGCAAACCGTTCATTTTTTCGAAATAAATAAAGAGTACCATTTTTAAAGAAAAACCTTCAGAGTATCTAATAATAATATTTTCAGTTTGATAAAATTACTTCTGTCAAAATTTTGAGAAAAATTGTGATAGGGCCAGTCCGTTTCTGGACACCTGATAATAGCAAAAAGTTGATTTTAGCATCAAATCGTAGAGCTCCATGTGTAATACAACGTACGAAAATTTTATTAAAATATACAGGGTGGTTTCAAAGTTATAACCCTAAACGTTAATTTCTAGGTACCCCTTTGACCCCCCATAACTCCGTTAGGGGGCACATTAGGAAAAAAAATTATAGGAAGGACTAGTTTTATTTTGACCTCCCCTATACACTCCCGAGAGATTAGGAGGTACTTACCGGACACCCTGTATAGGTACGTTAATATTGGAAATAATAAATAGAAAAACAACAGCTCTAAATTTGACAACTGTCAGCCACATTCTCAAGCATACTTACCTTCTTCTCACTTGTATTCTTATTCTTTTATCAGCAGAATCGAACACTTCCGATCTTTCTACTCCTCAATCTTTGCACTTGATGTACATTGTACAGGATGTTACAAAAAAATAAGTCAAGCCGTTAATCTCGAATTGTTAACGAAAATATTGGGTCTTTCCTTACGTCATTTATTATTTTGCCGTCTTTTTGCGAAATACAGGCTGTCAGAATTATAGAAGAAAAAAAATATTTTTTTAAGATACTAAACATTAATTTAAACAGCATGGACTTTTGTTAAATACCACTGCATTTTTTTGTGCAATAAATATCTCAAAAATTAAGCCCGAATTAAAATTCTATAAATGAAAATAATTAAAGAAGGACCACTTGGTATAAGAAACAAAACCTTTGAACAACAGATGTCTACTGGACAACATTGGGGTGAGGGGTAAATATGTAGGTACGTAACCCTCTTCCCTCCGTTTGTTTCAATTTTATTTAGCTGACATGAGATACAACTATGTGCAAAATTTCAATTGAATATCTTATAAAACAACAAAACATTTTCTTTAATTGGAACCTGAACATCATATGTCTCGACAAAGAACGAAATATGGGATTAGGAGAATCTCGTTATTTTTGCCCATATGGTTAACGGTTTGACCTAATTTTTTGGAACACCCTGTATATTGCAGGTATTGGACACAATTGGTAGTAGGTCAATCATTGACTGCGGGTACAGAATTGCTGAATATTTATTTTACGAGTACTGAAAATAGAAAAATACGTACCGAAATACCTACCTGTTAGATATTTGGATGTACCATGGTGGGTTTGAAGTTGTAACTAAAGTTTTTACCAAAATTTGATATCGGTAAGTCGCTGATTGGGAGCGGAAGCTTTTTTTTAGAGGCCTTTAAAGATTTTGTTCTTGTACCTACATTTACTAATGTTTGTAACCCTCTAAAATGATACACCCATGGAATCGTGTTGTCAGCATACCTAACCCGATCGCGCGGATCTATATGTTGAGAATGTAACAAGGATTTCAAGACTAAAGTTTAATAATCTTTTTCTCATTTTTAACTGAAGTATATTTCCTTAAAGTTCATACTTCTTCACTCTGTATACACATTAAATGAGAAGAAAGTATTTTTTGTATAGGTCCAAATTATAACATATTTGTTCGTAGAGCAGTCCAAAAGAGTTTCCAACAGTTAAGCGCATGCGCATTCCGAAATAATGCTTACATGAGGTTCAAAATTCATTGTTTCAAAACAAATGCAGTTGCGTCTACTGTTAGAAACTATTTTTAATGCACTAGGAACAAAGCTAATAATTTCATAACGCCAGGCATTGTTCTAGAATTAAAAACCATTTTTTCATTCGTCTAGTTGTGTGTTCAATATCACATTCTTTCGCGTATATCTATTCAATCGATACGCAGGCCATACATCTAGGAATAAATGTAGGTGCAGCTAGATATACCTACCTGAATTCATAAGTTTTATTATATTGTTTAGTTGACATTTCATATTGTGCAACATGAAATATTTCGAGATAAATTTCCGCAATCTAGGACAGCTGGGTAATTTTTAATAACAAGGAACATCGTTTAGAAATCCTTCATGTTCACGCATTCTGTTGTTTCTCACATATGTATTATGTAGCCATTACTTTTCAGTTTACTCTTAGTAGAGGTATCGTTTTCTGCTATACAAGCAAAAAGAAAGGCATCAAATTATATGCTTACCTACCATGGGCGCCGTTTAGGAAGAGGGGGGGGGGGGCATGGGGTTCGGTAATAGTTAACTAAAGGCATCACAGTAGACACAGGGTTATCACGAGTACAACAGCAAATACAGAGTCATTCACTTCGTAAGTAGGTACTTATTTTCTAAATATATTAAAGAATAAGAGAGGCAAAATCTACGTAAAAATATTAATTTTTTAAATTATTCTCTTTTCAGAGTAAAGCTCTGTTTTGCGTGATAAAAAAACATGTGAAACATAAATCCTTTCGTCTACGTTTTGTTTGCTTTGTCATCTAGAAAAACATTTTTTTTATAAAAAACGTTCGTTCTGCAAAAATTTTTTATATGTTTTTTGTTTAAATAATCATAAAAAGTATGTTTTGTTCTAAGGACCGTCGCTAAATCGCACATTCCAGGTGCGTACTTAAATTTGACATAACATAATGAAAGCGAGACATATTTACATAGTAAATAATCAGGATTAAAATACAACAGTTCAACTAGAGACATCGGCGACTGGTAGCAAAACAAAAGTAAATAGACACTAATGGTCGTACACTGTAAAAAAAGTCGGTGTGAGTGAAAGCAATAAAGGTACAGAGTGAATATACTGAGTGAAATGGTTGGGCACATTTTCACTCAATATTGAGCATTTTGATAATTTTACACATTTGTGATTATATTTGAACTAAAACTATGAGTACTTTCACTCAAATATAGGTACTCGTTAAATAAATTCTCAAGATAAACTCGTATTTGGTACACTCGTACCTAAATCGGAGTAACTGTCCTCATTAATGAATGACCCCACCCCATTCTATGGTTGTCGTGCGTTTTCTTTGTCTATTCCCGTCGTCCCCATTAGGTCATCTCGTGGCGTGTAGTGCTGGACAAGTATGCGTTTATCGGGTTATTTTGGTGATAATTTTGTTTAAATGCAGTGGTTTGATTATAATAATTAAAAACAATAATATATATTGAGACTCGCTTAATATTTGGTTAAATAAAATTAGATTGTTACCTAGCAATCTATTCGTCCGATCAGTTAACCAATTTTTTTAATCGAGACCTAAAATATCGTCTCTAAAACAGATCTGTGTGGAAATTACTGCGGCTCAGTAGTTTGTGACTAATACATTGAAATTTAAAGTAAAATTTGAAGAAAATATAAACAAATCTGAGTAAGAAAATTACTCAATAATAGTTAAATTTAGATAAAATGTCAACTCTTAATTGGTTTTATATACTCAAAATAGAGTCAAAAGTCACTCACTTGATAGCAGAAACTTGGATTTTAGTAAAATTCACCCACTCTTCATAAAATTTTAGTTATACTCGTACTAATAGAGTGAATTTTCACTCACAATCAGGACTCTGTGTGGACAGAAATTGATACATTACTGAGTAAAATTGAGTGAAATTGAGTGATTTTTTTACAGTATTGTATACTGAATAACTTGAGTACTTCTAAATTTTCATGTATCGAGGTTCTATTCTATACTGTTTTACAGAGTCTGCTTGTCGTAACACTAAACAATAAATTGTATACCTACCTTAGCAAATACGTTTTTTGTGTGTAGTTTTTCGAGCCAACTTTCAGTAAACCAGAGTCTTATTTTAATTTATCAGCAAATGTGTAATACTTGTTTCGAAACAAATATAAAAAATAAATTACTAAGGTTAATATGCATATCCATCACATATAATTTAAATAAGTTCTTTTTACTTGGCACACAGAACGAAATTCTTAAAGAAAAGTGGCTCATTTATCACAATTCAGAAGGTAGCATAGAATCGCGATTTTTTTACAGTACTAAAGAATTCCTAAGGCAAAATTCATATTTATATTTCAACTATTATTGACATTTCTCGCAGAAGTTGCCACATTGAAATATACAAAACTGCCATTTCTTTATTTGTGTATTGAATTTCATTACGGATTGCTGTGTTCCAAATAGTCATATATGAATTCCTCACGGATCTAGCAGGAAATGTATTCTGATATTTTAAATTTGCCCCTCCTTGGATTTCGTGCTAACGGCGCCCATGCTGCCCACATAACGAGATTTCCGTGTGATTCGGAATTGTTCTACTATTTGGGGTTAAGTAGCTTGTGAAATATATATTTTTAAGCGAAATCAGTTAAGTTCTTCAGTCTAGACTCTAGACTCTAGTTAATTAAATAAATCAGTTTATTTAAAATAATGGAATCATCAGCTAAGATAAAAATAAAATGGGTGTTAGGTGCGCCATTTTTTAAAAGTCACATAATCCTTCTTGAATAATAGGTGGATTTTCTATAAGCTTCAGTACATGATTAAATTCTTAAATGACTTCAACAATGAAATCCTAAGGTATAAAAATGTCGAGACGAAAAAATAGGAAACATAATTGTAAATTACTCTGCAACCTATACTTATAAGACTTAACTCTAATATTGTTTGTTTTTAAACTACGTTACTGTACATTCATAAATTTAAAAGAATACCTTCCTGAGTTCAGTAACTGCTCATCATAAAATTCATTCGTCAAGGAATAAAATAACGGCCAATGCTGAAATTTTAATGTATGTCTAATTCACTGTTATAATGTCACGTAGATGCATTATCTTGTATTTAATACTATGAAAAACAAATAGGTACCCTAGAGTTTATGAGTGCATTAACATTAAAATAAAATCGATGGTGTTGCGACAATTCACTACCCTTCTTCGATTGTTAGTGCCTTCAGTAGTGTAATCGCCGAGAAAGCTTTCAGTACAACCTGAAAATATGCAAATAATTGGTAAGCAGGATATTTTATTAGAATTTTTAGTTGGGTAAGATATGAAGCGCCTTTTTAATCTACAGAATGTCCAAGTTTAACAATTGTTTGGAATTTCGACTATGTTTCCAGAATCATTTCAGTAATCAAGTTGAAAATATGCGCAGTAGCGTTTCACTTTAAGGCGGGATTTTTAAAAACAGCATTCATTTTGTGATCATTGATAAACTTTTGATTTTTTTTCTTAAAAATTGTTACTAGTTTATCGAATATTTTCGATTTTATTTTATTTTAAAGAATTTATTTAATATTTGGTAGGTATCTTGGTAAGGTTTAAAATGTATTTTTAACATTTCTATCTTAATGGATACTTATGCCACATCATAACAGTTTTTCTACTATTAAAACAGATAATGGTGTTTATAACAATTTTCTAAAAAACAATTACAGCCATAAAGCGAATAATAGTTTTGAAATGTAGTTTTGAACTTTTTAACTACATATAAATAAGTTAAATTTCATATTTTTTCTTTCTATTTATAAGAACAGAAATTTCCATTTTCTTTGCAGTTGAAGCAAACTGGCCCATTAAAAACATACACATCAAAATTTTCATTCATCTTGAAATAATGTCACAATTCCAAAAAACAATTTAACTTTGACATTGTATATCGAAAAGAAGGATCGTTAAAAGAAGATATGTTCATGAAAATATCTATACTGACCTCAATAATAAGAGAATTGTCTGCTTCAAGCATTCCTCCAACAGTGATGACGATACTTTTTTCGGCGTTCATTGTAAGGAGAGCAAGAGCCTTCTTGATAGGAGCTTTAAATAAATACCATTCAGACAGAGCTACAGCATCAACCACAGTGATACTCTGCAAATTAAAAATAAATGTTACAGAAAACAGTTTCAATTATTTCCTAGGACTAGGCCAAATTTTTTTCATATAATTAATTTTATTAGGTCTCAAAATTAAACTTGTTCCTTTAACGTTTCATCAAAATCAAAGAACTATTTGTATAGACTTGCAGGTATAAATATTTCCGTTTTATTGATTGAAAATGGCAGTCTATTTAGAGCAGTATGATTTTGAAGCGTCTTATGTACAGGGTGTATTTAAATGAAGGAACAGATAGCTACTCTTGAGGCCAAATATATCTTAGTCTAGAACTGTTTGATTTGTGAATTACGGGGTGATTAAATTTTTTAAAAACATCACACATACGCAAATATCTCAAAAAAAATTGACACTGATATGTTTACAATATTACACTGATTTTTAGGAACTTACCTGATCTTTTAAGTCAGAAGCTTGAACTGAAAAAACTACGAACTCAGTAAAAATGGTCATTGTATAAGAACATATCTCAACAGTTTGGAGAGTGTCAGCTTTATTCTATAAAAAAAAAACAAAATCATCAGCACATCCATTAAAAAATCAGTAGGTAATAGCTGTAAAAGAAATAAAACTGAAAAAGAATTAATAAGGCGATGTTTCGCATTGTGTTAGCTACGTCCTCTCCAGATTTGATTAGTGCAGCTCTCTGGGTTTCGAAAATCCAGTACCTAAGTAAGTTTTCAGCCACGAAAAATTAAATACTCATTCCAAATATTTCGAATTTTTACCACCAAGAACGGCGGTGACAACAATTTTCACAGTAAGACAACGTTTCGCATTGTATTAGCATAATCTGTCCAAATTTAGTTAGTGCAACTCTCTCGATTTTGAAAATTCAATACCTATGTATGCTTTCAGCCACAAAGATTGAATAACTACAAATATTTCGCATTTTCACCACCAAGAACGGCGGTGACAACATTTTTCACAGTAAGGCGATGTTTCGCATTGTGTTAGCTATGGTCTGTCCAAATTTGGTTAGTGCAACTCTTTCGATTTTGAAAATTCAATATGTTTTCAGCCACGAAAATTGAATAATTCCAAATATTTCGAATTTTCACCAAGATTGGCGGTGACAACAATTTTTACAGTAAGGCGATATTTCGCATTGTGTTAGCTATGCCCTGTCCAAATTTGGTTAGTGCAACTCTCTCGGTTTCGATAATAAATCTTCATATTTTATTAGCATCCGGTATATAGGGTGGTCCTTAACTACGTTCCCATAAAAAGGGGGTGATTTCCTCTTGTGAAAAAAAGTTCATACGAACATTTGTTCTAAGGATGTTAAATTTTAGAAAAAAATAGCTTTATTTTTTCCAATTTTCAATAAAATGTCAACCTGTTCCTGTTATATAGATAAAAATTAGACCTTTATTCTTATAATTCACTAGGGAATCACCCCCATCGAAACGTACTTAAGGACCACCCTGTATATTTTTATCATTATAGGGTATACTAAAAACAAGCATATTTTTAATTTTTACTTACAGAAGTTAGAATATATCCATTAATAACCATTGCCAGATAGCTCATTAGCAACTGAAGTAGCAGAATGCTTGATGAATATTTGTCAAGATTTTTACCATATCTAAAAAATAATGTGTAATCAGACTAAGCAACTAAATTTTGTGACTCGGTGTTACCAGTACGGGAGATTTATCGCAAAATGGACTACCAGAAATGGTATATTTGCAACTAAATAATATGTTCCGAGGTGGAAAGTTTTTATATAGTTCACGAAGCAAAAAAAACATGAAATATATCAAATTACAAAAAGTTTAGGAAAAAACTTCTTAGATTTATTCTTTGGTAAGTAAATGATTTTTACTAACCAACGAACAATCCAACAAACAATAGAAATATTCTATAAATAAAACATCTTAACACAAATTAAATTCAGTGTAAAGTAATTAGTATTTTTTGAAACCGTAGTATAATTTATTGTTACAATTATATTAATACTAATACTAATAATATTTATTCAAAATGGCCAATAGCTAATAGCTACTTAATCTTGTTATAGACCGATAAGGTGAAAATTTAAATGTTTGTCATTTGTTTTTGGCCCGTCTATCGCCCTTCTGTATATAACTAACGTGTAAAGTAAAATGAACGTGCATTCTGATCGTGTAAACTATGATCAAGCACGTAGTCCAGGTAAGTTAGACCAAAATCACCCATAATTCGAAGATTTTTTTCTGATGAACCGATCGAGTTGCGGTTTTCGGCATTGTCTTCGGAAAAATATCAGGAAAAAAGTCTATCTGTTACACTTGCTGGATCGAAACTGCATTGCGGGTGCATAAAATGCATCTTGGAGTGCATCAATTTTTCCGAATTTTCTAAAAATCGTAAAAATTGACTAAAAGTTGTAGAAATTTGTGTGCACGGGTTTTCAGGGTTGGAGATTGCGAATCTGACCCTGAAAAATATTCCCGACGGCCCTGTGGCCCCCCAGGGGGGCAAGGGGGGACCTTCTGTAAAACATCGAATAGCTGAGTAATTGTCTTCTAAATTTCCACTCGGGAGTTTTTGGGGTCGGGGATTTCGATTCTGACACTGAAAAGTATGCCCGACTCTCTGGGCCCCCCCAGGGGGGCAAGGGGGGAGGCCTTCTGTAAAATATAGCTGAGTAATTGCCTTCCTAAGCATGGAATTACATGCACAATTGCATGTATAAATTGTTTTGGAACCAACTATTCCAATCCTGAAATAATCGAAAATGTAACAGATGATGACTATGGAGACAGTCATGACAGTACTGATGATGAAAATTGTGATTGATAGTGAAAGTGTTAGACAAACATATGATAGTAGTTGTCTCACTAATTGCCTTGCAAATAAAAAGAAAATTGGTTCTCAGAATAAAGGGGATTCTTTTCGACTCATTAATTTTCTGTTAATTTTTCTCACCCTTCTTGTCTAATCTCTGTAAATTTACGTGTGTTACAATGTAAAGATGAGCCTACAAGATCAAGGTTGGTAAGCAGGTGGAGCAGTTTTATTACAAAAATCTAATATGCCTTTCGATGTTTTCCAGAAAGTCCACCCCACGGGCGTCGGGCATACTTTTCAGTGTTAGAATCGGAATCCCCGACCCCGAAAACCCCCGAGTGGAAATTTAGAAGGCAATTTCTCAGCTATTCGATGTTTTACAGAAGGCCCCCCCTTACCCTCCTGGGGAGGGGCCAGGGACGTCTGGCATATTTTTCAGGGTCAGATTCGGAATCTCCGACCCCGAAATCCAGTGCACACATATTTCTACAACTTTTAGTCAATTTTTACCATTTTTAGAAAATTTGGAAAAATTGATGCACTCCAAGATGCATTTTATGCACCCGCAATGCAGTTTCGATCCAGCCCCAAAGTGTAATATATATACTTTTTTCCTGATATTTTTCCGAAGACAATGCCGAAAACCGCAACTCGATCGGTTCATCAGAAAGAATTTTGGTCTAACGTGGCTGCGAAGCTAAGAGTTAATCTAAGAATGGACCAAAAAGCTATCAGTTTATATTTTCGAATGTTTTGATTTTCACCTGTCTTATCCCATTAATAAGAAAAGAGTTTAGTTATATCATAGACCTTATAAACTACTGGACTCGCCCAACTGTCATTTTACCCTTATAAACGGCAATCGCTCAGACGTGTGCGAGAGAGATGGAGCTAGTAAGGGCTTAAGCTTCGTTCACAGAATTTCGACTGTAACGCGCTACATTTAATTCAACCAATCAGCTAGCTATACTCAATTCCTTACCCTTTTTTTTCTGTTGGGCCGTATTCAAAGACTTTATAAAAATAATGTAGGGACTAAAAGACAAAAAGTTTTCATTTTTTCCAGTAGTGTAGGTATGTAAAAGGGTTTATTATATTACTATCCTAATTACAGTACAATATTTGAATTGTTTTAGCTATAATATTCCAAATAGTTTTTATAATGCCTTCTTTATGTATTCCTCCATTTATTTTCCTCATATCGTAAACTCGATCGGTCAACATTACTGCAAGCTCTTCTGACGTAGTTGATCCAAATATTTCATATTTTCTTACTTTGCAGAATTGCATAAATTGAAACTATGTCGATGCATTCTTCGTTCAACATATTATTTGAAGAGAATTTTTGCTGAAGCACATTATAAGCACATTTCAGTTAAAACTTTTTCTTTATATTCGGTTTGATGTTAAATGACATTTTATTTTGAGGATGGAGGAAATAATTTAATCTAATATGTTGTCATCAGAGACAACTCTACATTGTCAGTCTTTTCAGAAAGTTGCAAAAAGTATAAACATGTTGGTACCGTCATAACTTCTTTCCTACCTATTGTTTAATTTTTTCTCCACTTAAACGTCTCTTTATGCAATTTATCTCAGAACACGATTTCACCATATTTAGTTTTTACGAATCTTTCACATACACTAACTAACTCACACAAAAATTCAAGAAATCAATCAATAATGTCAATACATGACATTTACATCAAAGTTTGTTTACATCATATTGTACCGGTATACCCGTGTACCATCATTTATTTTACCGGTATTTGCCTCAACTAGCTTCATCTGCCTTGCACACATCAGCGCGATTGACCTCTCTTTCTAGGGCCAGTCCATAGTTTACTAGGTCTATGGGTTATATTGACGGTTTTATCAAGGTCGTGACATCAAAATGACACCTCTAAAGTGTTTTGAAAAGTACTGGCAACACCGTCCGTCATGGCGGTACATACTTTAATAATCTACAATGATGCCTGACACAGATCTTCAGTCTCTCCATGACTCGTTTCTGAAAATATCCAGAATGAAATTTTTCCAAGTCGGAAGCGTGAGGCATTATTCCAACGGTTATATTCTTCAGTTGTTCCTTCAACAACAGCAGCTGAGCACAGAGGTGCTGTGTCGCAGAACCGTACGCAAAATCGTAATACCCATTGCCGAACACCGTCAACACTTGACTGCAAACCAGAAGAAAGTACAAAATCTCGTACAGCGGGCTGACATTCGTGTCAAACGGCGTCCAGACGGGATTCGGAAGGCGTTTTACCCCTTTCGGCATTTCCATTAGAGGATACACGTTCAAAATATATATGCAAACGAATGAAAGGCAGACCTGACTTGTAAGCGTCAAGTTGATAAGAAGAAATCTACGCATTATCCGTTTTCTCACCAGAGACCCAGCTATTCCCAAGTCCCAGAATTCCTGATTAATGGCGTCAAATAAATATTTTATTCCTTCCGATTGGAAATACATGTAGAATAGTTTGAAGACGGCCTAAAATAAAATCCGGATTATAAAAACTTATTTATTTTAAACCTTTTTTATACCCCGCGCAAGCGTATACAGGGTGAACGCTATTTTATATGCTATTTATTAATGAAGTAAAAAAATCATAGACATAGAAATTTTATAATTTTTTCTTTTAAAAATCATTAGCATAAACATTGTTGAAGCACCCTATAGAGAGAACGTCCTTACATGAGTGATCTGTCAGAATATCTAGGCGTGCTTTTAGAAGAACGCTCACTGAAATGTTAATTCTTGTGTGAGATCCGTTATTTCATTTTATTTTTCGAAATTTGAACGTGGGAATTCCTTACCATAAGAATTGCTGGGCAAGTTGCCACACAAGCCGCCAGTTTATCAGGTTCATTCTTCACTTTATAGGCGAATATCGTTACACTGACGGCGATGATAGCTTTTAAAACGATAGCAGAGAACCAGATATATTTTCTGCCATCATCAAATCTTCTGAACTTGAGTAGCAGGTTTATTTTCCAGAAGAGTTCCTCTAAAATAATATACATAGGTCCTCAGCATGAGTGCCGTCAAAATAAATAAAAAAGTTGAAAAATGAAGGAAGTTCAAAATCAAAACCTATAGAATAAAATACGTTACAATAACAGCTAAAACTGTTTATTTTTAAGCGTAGTAATAAGTAACTTCTCCAAACATCTCCTTTCATTTAACTGGGTATTCCTGCAACACTGAAATGATTTTTTTTATAAGTAATACCTTGTGCCAAAAGGATCAGTCGAGGTGTTGATTTCATAAATTTAATTTTGCCTAATCAAAAAATATATCACACTGAGAAAACATATAAACATTTACCTTTCAGAAGATGTTCATTTTCCTCTGGAAATATTATTTCGGCTTTTTCTTCGTACATTTTAGCTGAAACTGAATATTGCGTGCAATATAGGTACCTTGTTTTATAGAAGATTTCCAAATGCAAAATATAGAGCAAAGCCTCATATTACCTGCGAAATTGTGATGCTGAAACCGCCCCACATGGTTCAGCACAGGCGCTTAATTTTTTTTTGTCACACTTTCGAGTATATACAGGGTGTTAATGAACTTATGTCAAATATTTTTGCCACATGTCCGTTATGTCAAAATGAGGTAAATACACGGATTTGTGTTGAGTAAAATGTAATTTTAAAATCTGATTTGCCTCAACATTGCAAGGAGCCACCTTTTGAGAACTGCTCACTTTCATAGAAAACGTTTGATGTACCCACCATTTGCTTGCACACAAGCTTCAGCGCGACGTATCCAATTTGCTCGCACGCGTTGCAACATTGCCACGAACTTTCATGGAATACACAACACTTTTCACATATCCCCACAAAAAGAAGTCTAAAGGGGTGAGGTCTGAGGGCCGGAGGGCCATTTAACTAGGCTGTCGCGGCCTATCCAGCGATCGGGAAAAGTAATGTTTAGAAAGTCGTGTACTCTCCGAAAAAAGTGAGCAGGGGCTCCGTCCTACAGTAACCACATATTTTGCCGAACATTTAATGTCATGTCTTCCAATAACTCCGGCAAGCAATTTTGCAAAAAATCTAGATAGAAGGCACCGTCTAAGGGCCTAGGCAATTCAAAAGGTCCTATTAAGGTGTCATTAACGATACCGGCCCACATGTTCACTGAAAACTGTTGCTGAAAGGCACCGCGAAGTGTTTCGTGTGGATTTTCGATAGGTTTTGTGGACGTTACGTATACCATTTCGACTGAAACATGCTTCATCTGAAACAAGTATTTGCGCTGTAAATTGAGGATTTCTTGCATGTTCCTGAAGTAACCATTCGCAAAAACCTCGACTTAGTGGAAAATCCTAAGGAGTAAGCGCTTGAACACGTTGAATGTGAAATGGGTACAACTGACAATGAGCTTCTCGTAAATGTCCGCCACACAACAGGATGCGAAATATTTACTTGCTATGCGATATTTCGGGTGCAACGATGCGGATATTCTTCAACGAGATCTAAAATCATCTCCTCAACATTTAAGATTCTTAGTGGTCGTCCTGGGCCACCGTCGCGACCTCGACGCGATTGCTTTTTTCTCTATGACCTTTCACTTCCGATACAAGATTGTGACGTTAGTTAACTCAGTTTTTGCTCCTTTTTCACCCAATTCAATTTTTGACATAAGTTCATTAACACCCTGTATATTACCACAACTCTTGTAAAAATATTACCAAATATATATACGTGGACATGATATTAATGTTGCACTTTGAACCATTTCTTCATAAATAGGCTTTGTCAAACATTTGACAAGAACATCAAAAATAAAAATTGATTAAAAAAAGTTAAAATTGTTCATCAACAGAATGTACTAAAGGATTCCTAGAAACAGGCAGAAATAGTATGGTGCATTTTCTATAATTTTCAGATTGAATTAAAGTTCGTGTCTGAAAATGTCCTTGTTCATATTTTACTGGAATATCTGTATACAAAGTCTACTCGTATTAGCTTAATTGAACCGTATTTGCATTTTGCGTTGCTTAATATTTTAAGTATTGGAAAAAGGGACAAAACAAGTACATGTAAGCTTTTTCTGTCTATATTCATGTGCAAATTGTTGTATTACATACCTACTTTCTTGTTATGTTCTGATTGAATTTTTGATTAAAAATCTTTATCAACTTTTATTATACACTTGCCTTAGACAAACACTGACAACTGAAAATAGAATTCAATTCTACGCACAACTTTTTTGCATTCTGTGATTTAAAGTCAGTATTGTAGCTAGGTAATGAGCGCCCATGGCAAGATTTGAATTTTGCGCCCCCAAAACTTATTTTGGAGGAAGATAAACAATACAATAACTTTAAAGTATCAATTAAGTTATACATTTGCGCACCCTTGAAGTTTGCGCCCTTGGCAGCCAAGGTTAAATAAAAAATAAGTTAAAAAATTGTGCAGGATTATATGTACAACATTCTCTTCTATGTTTTCTATTTTTTCTATTAAAATATGTAAAAAGTTATTTTAAAACAATATTGTAATACATTAATTTTTTTTAAATATATTTGATTTTTGTGGGATAAGTTATAAAGATTTTTAATAAAGTATATAACTACATATACAGGGTACACCATCGAAAACGTACCGCAAGGCATTACAGGGTAGTAATGAACTTTTCGGCAAAATCCATAAACAGGTAAAGTTTGGGGTGCCATCCCCCAAATTTTTTTAAATGGGAATGGGGGTCAAGTGGGGGGTCATTAGAAAGGGCTTTTAATTCTCTATACATCGATTCTTACTTTTTGAAAATCGATCCATTATTTTAGAAAATATGCAGCTTTGAAAATACGAACAATATTTTTGACGAGAAATGCGAAAATCGATTTAATTTTACTTCAAAACTTACGGTATTAGCTTGGTAAATTCCTTCAAAAGAATTCTTTTTTTTTTTCTGATTTGCGAATTCTTTAGCCTGATTTTGGTGAGCAAAAAATTGTCCGCTTTTTGTTTCGTATTTAGATAGGCCACAAGAAGTTGCTAGATAACTGTCTTGTGACTTGTAGTTGAAGAGTACCAATACTGCCGAGTCTTTTAAATTGATTAATTATGGTGTACTCAATTCCAGAAAGAGTAGAAATTATTGAGCTTTTTTTCAAAAACAATGAATGCGGAAATCGGGTCGCCGAACTGTTCAACCAACGGCATCCTGAGAAACATGCGTCTGGAAAAATTGTTCGCGAATTGGTGGCCAAATTTCGCGAAACTGGCTCCGTTCATAACAAAAAGAGGCAGGTTGAAAATCCGGTACTAAATGAACCTACGGAAATAGCGGTATTGGGGCAAGTGGCAATGGATAGTACGCTGAGTACAATGCAATTGGCTACTGCGACAGGAGTGAGTCGTACAAGTGTCCAACGAATATTAAAAAAATACAAATTCCATCCTTATAAGATTCGGCTAGTGCAAGAGCTAAATGAAGACGATTTTGATCGTCGTTTGCAATTTTGCGAAATAATGACTGAACGAGCGATAAACGATAATTTCCTCTTTAATGTGTGTTTTTCGGACGAGTGTACGTTCTTCTTGAATGGTTTAGTGAATCGCCATAATTGTCGTTACTGGGCTGATACCAATCCAAGGATTTTCCATGAGACACACTCCCAACACCCCCAGAAGTTGAATGTATGGGCAGGTATTTTTGGAAATTCCATTGTAGGTCCTTTTTTCCTTCCTGGAAATTTGACAGGCGATATGTACTTGGATTTACTACAAAATGTCATCGACCCAGCTCTAACAAATATCATAGAGGACGACCCTGCTTACAATGAACACGAACTGATTTTCCAGCAAGACGGAGCTCCTCCACATTACTCGCTCAATGTGCGCAATTACCTAAATGAGACGTTTCCAGGACGCTGGATAGGACGAAGAGGTGCAATTGAGTGGCCCCCTCGGTCACCCGACTTAAATCCTTTAGATTTCTTTCTCTGGGGGCACATTAAAAGCAAAGTTTACAGCACTCCACCTGATACCTTGGAAGATCTGCGAGGACGAATCATTAATGTATGTCGCGAAGTAACACCGCAAGTGCTCCAGAATGTTCGACAACGGTTTGAAGACAACCTGTATCATTGTATGCAAGTTGGCGGACAACATTTTCAGCATTTACTTGACTAATACCGTAAGTTTTGAAGTAAAATTAAATCGATTTTCGCATTTCTCGTCAAAAATATTGTTCGTATTTTCAAAGCTGCATATTTTCTAAAATAATGAATCGATTTTCAAAAAGTAAGAATCGATGTATAGAGAATTAAAAGCCCTTTCTAATGACCCCCCACTTGACCCCCATTCCCATTTGAAAAAATTTAGGGGATAGCACCCCCACTTAGGGGGTTGAAGATTTTGGTATGCTTTTTGAGCCAAAAGTTGTCCCCCTCAGAAACAAATTTGACCTGTTTTTGGATTTTGCCGAAAAGTTCTTTACTACCCTGTAATGCCTTGCGGTACGTGTTCGATGGGCTACCCTGTATATTTTTACATATTCTATTAGTCGTCTTTCTTGTGATTACCTGTAGTGATATAGAATTGGAAAGATTGCTTATCACTTCTTAGATATTGATTAAATTCTTTTTATAAAAACAAATGCTTAAAGTTACAAAAGAACATGAATAATAATTATTATCAAGAAAGTAAAAAGTGAATATGAGCATTATTGAATTTGAAATCGATATTCTAATACTCGTAGCTATTTTGCTGTATTTCCATCCACACCTATTAAAGCCCTTAATAGTGTAACTGCTGAAAATACTTTTTGCAACATCTGAAACATAAAAAAGAATTCTCTTGAAATAGTCAACAATTGGAAATATAGTTTATAATATCAATTTAATTCCGCTGATATTGTTAAATAACATTTCGAAATATTTTAAATAATAGTGATAATAAGATTGTTGTTCACTTGTTTCAAACGTAAAATAATAATATTAGAAGTCGAGACCGTAGCCACAATACACAATACAGTAAGGATATTTTTTTAACACTTGTGATTTTAATAATACTGTGTATATTGGTGCCTAAATTTAAATTTTGAGTAAAATACCTATGATTGACAAAAATATGAATGCCCTTGTGAAGCAAGAAAAAAATATTGCAAAATGGTGGAACCTCGTTTCATACTCGGCATAACAAATATAAAAACAGCAAAAGAGAATTAGGATTACTTCTATAATGTATTGCTACGAAGGACCGTTCAAAATTGGTATATTTAAGAAAAAACTATACCAGCACTTCTAAATATCCACAGAAAATTTCTTGAAGATTGAGATTTGCTGGTGACAGGGAAAGTTGCATAAGTTTTTGCACACCATAGGATTCCGGTGTTGCAAAACAATGATCAACTGATGACTAACAGCCCACAAAAAGAAATAAAGGTGCGAAAGATAAGACTATATCTATACGTTTTTGGGGCCGGTGAATCCGAATCCGTTTGACCCGATCATACTATTCTGAGACTACCACCATGCCACCCTGACCCAAAGCTCTATCTAACTTGTTTGGGTGTCACTCAAACGCTAGTGAAATTGTCATTTTCACTTTGGACAAACGTCGAAGTACTTACATCTACCAGTAGAGGATTGTCTATTCTAGTGGTTCCTCCTGCTTTGACAACTATGCCTTCTTGTCCATTCATCATCATGAACGTACAAGCTTTCTTCAAACGGGCATTGAAGAGATACCACTTGGAGCCATACAGGGCGTCTAGCACCGATATGCTCTGAAAAAGGTTACGCGGTTGTATTTTAACATAAAACATTGCATTTTTGTGGCTGTAAAGTTGTTACCTGCGCATTCAGTTGACTAGAGGGTATTGCGAACTGTACCAACTGTATGAAGGTGGTGAATGAAAGGTTGAACAGAGCTATAGTTTTGGAGATATCGCTTCTGTCCTGAAACACAAATTTAAGGAAGCTACTGCGGTAGGGCATTGCCCTTAACGGCTAAAAACTTTTTAACATTATTTATTTGATTCAATGAAATGATTAATTTCCAATTCTAAACCTATATTTACAATAATTACAACCATGTGCGCGTAATTGTAGGTAACATTGACTTAAAAGGTAGGTATATCATTGAGAACGGGATATCGTTTCCTCCGTGTAATCTAACTTCGATATAAATCAGATAAATATATTTTGTAATAAGCAACATGCACTGTGAATGAATCTATTCATATTAATATTATAAATTAATTGTAAATATCTAGGATCTAGGTAGTTGACTAGAAATTTTGTATTGCCTGTTAAATCACAGCATTGGTATTATTGCCTGAAATTTGTTTCCAGAAAGTAACTAGTGGAGTCATCATAATAAACGATTGTCTGGTTGTCATGGCAATGACGTTAACAATTACAGAATTCCTTCCTTTTTAAAGTTTCACTGATTCGGCAGATAATATTACAAACCTTGATCTATATGATTATGATATTGCTATATATTACGAGGCATATCCACAAAGTAAGAGTACTGAGACTGTGATGCTATGTGGTTCTTGTTGTCGACAAAGTTGGCAACACTGTAATCAAGGCCACGGTGTTCGGTGCACAACGCGCTCTCATTTGTTTCAGTCAGTTGACAACTGTTGTTGTAGTGGCGTGTTGAAATGAATGCCGCTATTACGGATCCCGCTAGGTGAATAATTCCTTGACTGTATTTTGACTGGCGACGAAACGTGTATATCCCACTACACCCCTCAGACAGTGGCGACATCCGTATTCAACATCAGTGAAAAAATTCAAATCACTATTACGTCGAAAAAAATCATAGCAACTGTGTTTTGGGGCCTAAACGGATTCTCCTCATTTGATTTTTTTGACGTAGGTATCAGAAAGCTCTTCCCTTGGCTCCCAAAGTGCATTGAGGTTGAAGGCAACTACATCGAAAAATAGTGTTTGATGTACCTTTCTTTTTGCTTTGTGGATATGCCTCGTATTTTGGTAAATTTTTATCCTAAAAATTGGTAGGTTTACATTCATGATTCATCAGTTTTGGAACATACTGAAAAGTTGTACCATATAGTGAATTGTGACAATTTCTTATACCTACAATTTATTAGGTGAAAAATTGATAAAATATAATCAACGTACTGTACTTAACATGAATCCGTTGACCACCAATGCAGCATAAGTCAAGACTAACTGTGGAACTAAAACTAACGAACAAAAGCTTTCTATATTTTTACCATACCTGCAAAAAGACATGAGAATCTTAAAATAAAACATCCATACCTTTTTTAATACTCGATTATAGTTCTACTCCACACGTTTCCAGTTTACAACTAATCTTTTGTACTTACTTTAACAGTCTGGAATGGTGCTCTGCGCATATCTTCAGCCTCTCCATAACAGTGTCTTGGAAATATTTCGAGTTGAATTTCTCAACATCTGACGAGTCGTCCATAATACCATCTGTTATATTTCTCAACAACTCCTTGAGTATTACAAATTGAACGATGAGGTGTTGCACGCAATACGAATAGAAAAAATCGTATGCCACGTTGCCCAAGTAAGTCATTATTCCATTTACGAGTAAAACTGTAAAGACGATTTCATATAACGGGCTAGGATTTAAATCGACGGGGCTCCAGACTACGTTGGGCAATATCCTGTCGTTCTCCGATGGCATTTCCGCCACTGGGAAAATCAGAAAGAGTGTTAAACAGAAAACCGAATTTGCACAGTAAGTCCACAAGATGCGATTGGTGTATTTAAATATGGTCATTGCTTCTTTCTCTAATTTTGGCCCGTAAATTCGATAGTCCCAAAATTCTGACGTTATAGTGTCGTATAGATAGTTCACGCGATTTTTGTCGACGTAAAGGTAAATCATCTTTAACACCCCCTACAAGAAAGGTTAGAGTCAGAAAAAAATGTTTTTGACATATCAGAAAAAGGTCCATTGTTCCATTGACAGTACATATCTGTTAGTAAAAACTGCCCCTGCCGCGATAAATTGTTACAGTAGTTCTGATGACAGAACTTTATTGGCTTATTTTTTTCTCGGAATTCTATCTCAACAAGTCTGTATTGCTTTTGCTTATTATGAAAAAAAAGGCCGGGAATCTACATATTTTTACCACAGACAGAAATGTGTATAGTAATAATGTTGTAGAAGAAAAAATAACAATTAACATACTGAGAGACAATAGTTAGTATTAAATCATTTCCGTTTGTCTTAAATTAATTCTAGGTTAGACTGCTGTCTATTGTCGTATTCCAGTCTCGAGAAATTTCGGTTTTCATTTCACTTTCCAGTCTGAGCTACAAAGCTGTCCACATTCCATCTATGAGATGACAACCCCAGCAAAAGTAGTTGCTGATGCTTAATGTTGAGAACAATATTGATATTTTCATATTTACTATTGTTGTATCTAATATGTATAGAAAAAAGAAGATAGATGTTGCTAGGAAGTAGTTGAAAATAACTAAAAGAAGAAGTGACATATAAAAAATTATTGAACTGTTAAAATTATAGTTTTGTACTTTTAAAAGATAATAAAGAAGAGAGAAGGAAGTCTGAGTGATTATTTGTAATAGAAATGTAACACTTAAAAGCCTCAAGCCCACCAATCCTATGAGGGCAAATACGCTACCAGAAATATAAATTTTCAACTAAATTTCGAAAATTTCCATCAGAAACCTCTACGAAGCTGCCAACAGCTCCCAGTCACCAAAGACGCAACAGACGACACCGACTGAAACCGATACTAGTGACAGAGCGACCGCTGACGACGAGCGGGATGTGCAGAAAAGTCGCCTTAGTTTAAAATTTCGGGAGATAAAAAGTTTACCAAATTCATGGAAATTCGATCTGAGCAGGGCAACATAAAGAATCACCACGGCACAGAACGACAAGTCCAGGTACCAATGAGATCAAGTCCACTCCTTGAGCCGGAAAATCCAGGCTAAATGCGCGACCCTAATGCGAAGATACCTACAGAATTACGGCGAAGCCACCATAGAGTGTGATCGAACGTTGACTTTTGCAAATCATTAGCCAGAGCCTGTAGTCGCTCATAAACTTGTATCCTCATTGAATTATATATATAGTAAACCAATTATTCAAAATAAACAAATTTTCTCAATTGGAAACCTTGTTGAAAATTTTTGTCAAGCGCACCGCTCGAGGTCTAGATTTTAGATCTGGCAGCCAATCCGCTCAGAACTTTCTGTGCTGCAGAGAAGATCCTTAAAATAAACCAAGTTCTAAGTAGTTTAAATTCACTCAGGACTTTCTTCTTCAGCGAAGATTCTTAGTATACATAAATAAACATAAACAAATAGTTATAATAAACGTTCAATATGTGTAATATGTTCAAATAAATGTTCTATTTACAATAATAATGGATTTTTAATGTGAACTTACTTACTGTCTAAAATATAGATAAAAAAACGCGTACAAGAAAGTTACTTTCCCGGGGTAGGTCGGAAACGTTACTTTCTCAAACTGCTTTCTGATTGTTGCTTAACAGTAAACTAAAATATTAGACTAGGGTATTTTAGGGTTCAAGATAGTTAACATTCTAAACAATTAAAAAAGACTTCATATATACCGTCATTGCTACAGGAAGAGAAGCAGTCAATTCAGCAACCCTCCTCGGTCTATCCAAGCATAATATTACAAACGCAATCCTATCAAAAAGAAGGACAATTTTTATAATCGTAGCGACGGTCCAAAAATACTTTTTCTTGCCATCAAAACCGTGCATCTTCAAGATTTTCTTCAGCATTATCATGGGGTCATCTAAAAATATTCTGATGTGATAATTATACAAAAATATTAGAATACATATAGTGCAGCGATTTGAAGAGTCTATTGTGTCGTTTTTTTTTTTTTTTGACGTAGAACCAGGTCAGACATGGTAGGTTTTATTAAGCATGTGATTGGACATATGAAATCGTATTTTACGACATATTTTGTTGGTCGGGATCTTTTTAATTTCGAAAAATTAAAAAAAAAATTATTTTTATGAGAACATGTTTTTTAAGGTCTCCACCGTTATATCTCAAGAAATAATTGTACCATAAGAGTAATTTTTTTTTAAATTAAAGCAGACACAATAGCGCTTTAACAGTACAAATAGATTTTATAAAACTCGCTTTTTCATTTCGCTAAAAATTAGGAAAACTTGAAATTTAAATTTTGTGTAATACAATTTTCAACAATCGATAAACTTTTTTATTTATGATTTTTTTATATACATGCAGCGAAGAAAATGAAGCCCAAACACTGCATAAATTTTTGAAATAATTAGTTATATATTAAGCTTGGCAACAGCGATTGTTTCATAGCGCGCGACAATGATGTGGGTGAGTCCAACGTAATGTGTAATCTACATTATCTACATAGTGTATGGCGGGATTTGGAATAGGTACGTGTGGTGTGTAATAATAATCAGAATAATTAAGTTTTTTAAGACAATGGAGTGCATTATTTGTAAGAAAACTGTAAGGGATGATGACAAATCTGTAATACAAAAACCTAGAATTCAAGGTTTGTTGTCACTAATATCTAGTGCTGAAAAAAGACAAAACAATTCGCGCAAAAGAAATTCTGTCAAAAAAAAACGATATTTTAAATGGCGAAGTTAAAATAAAATACCATTTAGACTGTCGTAAAGCATATACTAGTTTTCAAAACATTGATCCTAGCTGTATTTTGCAATCAGACAGTGCCGCCGGTCCCTCAAATTGTTCTGGAACTCCGATAAAATCGCATACTTTTGATATTAGAAAAACGTGTCTTATTTGCAATAATAGTGGAACCAAAAAGAAGAAAGGTTTGATATCTGTTCAAACAAGTAATTAAATAATTTTAAATAATTTTTAGGTGCCCAAAGTATAATGCTTATAGGTTACCTAGTCAAAAAAAACATCTATTTTAAATCACACCGAGCCAAAATTACAGTTATTCAGAACACCATTGATATAGTTATTGGACATAGACTAATTATTATAAATAATTGACTGTTCCTTATAAAAAATACACGTTTCAGTAAAATAAACCTACTTTTAAACATTTAATAACTCAAATTTCGATTAAATCACTACAGCTTCGAAAAATATTGTACAATGTAAAATTCGTGTCTTAACGAATTCTTAAGAAATCTGTCATGACACACCATCACTGCAAATTCCTGTAATTTACAGAGACATCTCGTGAAATGTTCACCGCGACTATAAAAAAGTGTATCGATTGGTGGTATTCTATTTTAATTTCGCCATTTAAAATATTGTTTCTTTTTGACAACAAATCTTGAATTTTAGGTCTTTGTACTACAGATTTGTCATGATCCCGCACAGTTTTCTTACAAATAATGCGCTCCATTGTCTTAAAAACTAATATGTTCTGATGATTATTACACACTGCCTATTACGCACGTACCTACCCCAAATCCCGCAAGCCGTACACTATGTAGATTACACATTACGTTGGACGCCCCATGCATCAGTTTAGCGCGCGATGAAATAATCGCTTGTTGCCAAACTATAAGCTTTAGGAAAAAACTAATTATTTCAAAAATTTATGTAGTGTTTGGGCTTCATTTTCTTCGCTGCATGTATATAAAAAAAATCATAAATAAAAAAGTTTATCGATTGGTGAAAATTGTATTACACAAAATTTAAATATAAAGTTTTCCTGATTTTTAGCGAAATGAAAAAGCGAGGTTTATAAATTCCATTAGTACTGTTAAAAGCGCTATTGTATCTACTTTAATTTAAAAAAAAATACTCTGATAGTACAATAATTTTTTGAGATATAACGGTGGAGACCTTAGAAAACATATTCTCATAAAAATATTTTTTTTTTATTTTTTCGAAATTAAAAAGATCCCGACCAACAAAAAATGTCGTAAAATACCATTCCATATGCCCAATCACATGCTTAATAAAACCTACCATGTCCGACCTGGTTCTACGCCAGTTTTTTTATTTCGATAACTAAGCGACTTAGCATTGCAATTGAGCTCGTCTAATATTTAAAAATTTGGTCAAAATTTGTGGATATCGAGGATCTTGAATTCTGACGAACACTTATTTTGGCCTAGCTTGTGAGAATTAAAACCCAACAGTATTTTGAAGTCAGAATTGCAAAAAAAACAGGATCATGCTGAAAAATTTCTATTCTTTTGTAGCCCTTAAAACAAAAATTGTCAGGTATATTTCTCTACTATTTTATATACCAAATTGGATGTACGTGAATCAGTAATAAAAACCATTCACTTTATTTTTTTTTATCACACTTTTCTCGAAAAATTCTGCAACCTAATGAGAAAACACTTGTCACAACGAGGGGGAATTTGCCCAGTATATTGTAGTATAATAACCCTAGGTTCGACAAAAAATAAGTAAACGTAGTTGTGGCCAAAAATATGTATGTGATCGTCATAAGGAATCCCTACGTTGTATGTATCTATTTTTTTATTGACCGGAAGGCACTGGCTACTAACTTTGTAGAGGGGATGTATGGTTTAATTATATAAAACAAAAGCAGAGTAAATACACCTAACCTTTATTTACATACAATTCAAATTAAACATGTGACAAATAGAAAGAACAACAAAAACATTAACAACCATTTAACATAGAATGAGAGTGCCAGGCTCACCAAGAGCTCCTGTGGGGAAAGAGCATGGCAGAGAAACCCACGATCGTTGCTCTTACCAACCAAATACAAATACAAAACAACCGCCAACCAAAGGCATACATTAAGAACCTTTGCTAATGAAAATTAAGACTGAACTTATTTACTGTCTCACTAAATGTCATCTCACTCAAGTCTAACATACACACTTCCAAGTAAAACTGAAGAGGTTTGGTGTTAGAAGGTATTGGAGTCCCATACGGGAAGCAATCCAGCTATAGTTGAGATTCGGAAGATCTGTTAGAAATTCTTTTTTTGTATTTAATTATTCTTTTTTTCAGATTCGTTCCTCACGGGCGAAAATGTAAGTGAATTCAACAAGGCCCTTATATGCGTATGACATAAAGTGAGCACAAGAAATCAAAGATAAGCGTAATCATGATAAAACAAATTAAATGTGAAACAAAGAAGTTTGTTTTGCAATATCTGGGCAGACACGACAATATATACATATTTGAACATGTAATAAATCATGAACAATCGTTAATAATAATTGTAACAATTTTACGTTAGAAAAATATACGCCCCTGAGCATAAAGCAATGAAGGCTAAACATACACAGAATTATTATCATGAAACATCTATGTTTTTCGAACAACGTAATCATAACAAAAACAAGTTAGATGTGAAACAAAGAAATCGTTATATATATACGATAATATATATATATGCACATATATATTTTAACATGTAATAAATATTGGGCAATCGTTAATAACAATAGTAACAATCTTACGTTAGGAAAATATACGCCCCTGAGCATAAAACAATGAAAGCTAAATATACAAAGAATTATTATCATGAAACATCTATAATCATCATAATCATAAGGTTACATAGAACAATTAACAAAGTACTTCAAGAATATTACCTGCTAACTAATACTGGTTAACCACTTAATTTTACACTACTTTGTCACACTGCCCGCCGATCGTCTTGCTACCTATCTGCACACTGTTCCCACTTCCACTGCCTATCTTCAACTGTTTAGGCTTCCTTCCAGAATTTCCTACCTAAGTGCTTATTTTTTGTACTTCCTTCTACCGACCGTTAATATTACTTTTTCATTGTTATACAACACCTATGTAACAGGTGACGTCGAAGTTGATAAGATAAGTACGGTTTTGCACAATATTTTTCCATAAATTCAGGTTGAATGACTAGGTGTCTCTGTTCTCATTACCCCTCATTATTCAATCAGCAAAATCTCAACAAATAAATAATTATTGAAAATTATTAAATCGCGCTGACACATATTTTTCTTATTTTTAAGAAACCAGAGGAATGGGTATTGATACTTTGTCTTATTCTTCACAATATAGAAGTAAATATATCTTAAAATTCCTCTAATTTCAAACTCACATTATAATATTTAGTACAAATGTAATGAGGAAGTAGTGGTAGGTACTATTGATACAGAAGTGTCAGAATATTTTTCCTCTAACTGATCACATCGAAAATAATACAGAAGAAATAAAATATCTTCAACAAAATATTGAAAAATTGCATTGATTCAGTACGCTATATTAAATATTAGAAAAAATATACAGGATGAACGTTCATCAAAAATTTGTCAGTACGGTCCTGAAATTTTGAAATTCTGACTTCAAAAATGTGTAGACATTCAATGGCATACAGTGTGCACCAAAAATAAATAAATTTGCATAGACGATACAAAAGCTGAAAGTCCTTTAAAAATAGAATCAATCTTAATTACACTGGAATTTTATTTTGTAATTATTTTAAAAAGCCCTTCGTACTACGTACCTCTTAAATGGAATTCACCAGCTTCGGGAAACTGCACCATGTTGTTCTTCACTTGTCGAAAGATATTTCAATAAATATACACAAGACTCACATTTGAAATGATATAAATAAGTGTTTAAGTAGATATTCTGTACTGCGTCAAGTGTTGCAGTTTTTAAAAAATGCATAGACTGCGGTAAAATACGGCATGTCCTTTGCAATTTGATTCACACGTTGTTGTCAACGACTTGTGAATCACTTCCTGACAACAACTCTTACGTTTCGAATCATATATTATCTCCTTCAGAGTATTTTTGACTTTGAAAGTTTTGGTCAGTAAAACTGCGGAGAAAGATGATACGTATCTCGGTATCAATAAACTTAATCCATAATTTTTTCAACATCATTAGTAATATATAATTTCGATAAGAAAATTATTTTCTAATAATATATCTATTCTTTAAAGATTTATACGTGGGTACGTGCGAGATTATTTAGTAATAATCTCGCACGGTTCAAACTGTATACTCCTTTTACCGCAAACTGTTTAAAATTTTAATGTCATCTATGCGTCACATTCACAGCTACCTTATTATCAGCAGATGCAGCTACTGTTATGTATTAGTAGAAATTTAACGTTACGACATTATGTTATTATTGTTATAAATTACAAATTTTGCGTTTATTTCCTATGACAACAAAGGCTTTTGTTGAACTGCTTACTAAATTTAATGAAAATATTGTAATTTTTGTAGGTATTATTTTCAAACTTATTATGCACCTATTTTAAACGTAATTTTCTCTAAAACGGTGCATTTCAGCAATATGCAACAAGGATACCTTTTTTAAAGCAAAGCTGTTTTTAATTTACTAATTATTTTTCAAAAATATCGATCCTTTAAAATCGTGTTTAGAACACAAGAAAACTTAATTTACCAAAATTTGAGTAAAATTATCCAAATAATAAATAAATTTTTGTAAAAAAGTGAAATTAACAAACTTCTTTCTCGGGTCTATAACTTCTTAAGGCAACAACAAATTTATTTTAAATCACCTTATTTTAATCCAAAGAAGCTAGCCTTAAAGCACATATTACAACCATATGCGACAGCTCTTTGATGTGGTCAATTTCGCCGCGATGACCTTGGACCTTTAACTGGGATGCACGGCGTTGCCAAGTGAGATAAAATGATTCAGTATTGAGGAAAATACATAGGCAACTGATTCCTTACTTATAGATCGTTAAGTTTTGATAAAATTATGGAGAAAGTAATTCAATTTAAATAATTTCAAAATAATTTGGAAAAATGTAATGTATGAAATATTAAATCATTTTTAATTTAAATTACTTATATTTACAAAAAATTTCTTGGTTTATTGTCAAATGAAAATATGATTTTTTTTTCAAAAATAATGAGTGTAATTATAATTAAATTTGTTTACATTTTTTTGTTAACATTACAAAAGTACATGTCGTATATATATATACATATAAGAATTAAAAAACACGTGTGATTTTCAGCATTTATTTACATTTTTTGTTTCTTATTTATAATGGTAGCCTACTAATAACAGTATATAATAATAAAATATTGTATTACAGTATAATAATAAAATAAATACATATTATAATACAAAATACTCTATATTAAATAATATTTAAAAAAATTAAAATATAATTTGATCCAAATAAATCAAAATTCACTTCGACTATTCCTATATCAATGAATATTCATACACTAAGCCAGTTTTATGTTAAAATATATAATATTCTCAGAGGAAATATATAACTGTTACTGGATGTATGTTACATATAAAAAACATGATTATTAATTCATAAGATTTATTATTTTCAGATAAGTGCGCCACATGGTTATTTTAAATTTAATAAGATATATATATAAACTTTTAAATAATAAATTAAACCATGTAGGTAAATAAAATATTTACATTAAATTATTTCAAAGGTAGTTCGACAGAAACGTATGTGACTATTCTCTATTCAGGTTAAGTTTCCATGAATAAGGTTATAAATATTTGATAACTGATTAGGTATTAGGAAAAACTATTATTACAAAACTAACAGTAAATAATAGAATAATTATGTATGTTTGTACTAATTACTTCTTAAAAATACTTACAGATGTTCGTCCAGCGGAAATCTAAAAAAATGAATGTCTTTGTTTTCCTTTTTACATGCCCGATAGGCATGTTTTACACTTATGATAGGAACAGTTCATGTTTATTTCACAAATAAACGTTCCTACACTCACTTTAAACTAAACACACGTAAATAAACAACAAACAAAAAAATCAAATCAAGTAAATAATAACGCACATTCACATTTGCAATTGCGGTGTTGCTGTGGAAAGTAACACGGAAAGATCTCCTATTCGACAATACACGAATAGTGATGCAAAGCGGCCGAAGATGACCGAAGTGTTCTTTTCTTACATGGATTTCGTCTTAGCATCCCGGGGTTTTTAACTGGGATGCATCTCCTTCTTTGTCCTACAAAGTATTTCCCTCTCTTTCACTGTCGCATATGGTTGTAATATGTGCTTAAAGTATGTCCCATTCTTTAGTAAACACCCTGTATATGCAAACAAATTAACTTCCCAAAAATTGGAGATGTTCACTAAACACGCATATTGTATTCTCGTTGTTTTCTTAAATTATTTGACATTAAAGAATTGATTTTGTTTCCCAAAAATAGTCAATTTTAATTAATCGATATCCACTTTTAAACGAATATTCTGATTCTAACCTCTTGTTAGATAGACTATTTTGTTGTTTGTAAAATAACTTTTATCGACCGTAAGACTACATTTTTAAAAAGAGGAAATATGATCATAATTAATTAAGTATAATGTTGTTTCTGATGATATTAGATAGAACTGGACTGGACTAAAACTGATTCAAAATTGTTCAGTTCAGTATGACTTATTAATTTATTTCAGTAAATTATTTCAATTTTTACCTCAATATACCAAACATCATTATGGATTTGGATTTAAGTAGCTTAGTAATTTAGACATTGGGACAAGGGTATAAACAACTACAAATAAGACTTTCTTTCTTTAATTATGTGCAAATTTGTGCATATAACTTTTTAAATGTGTCTTTTAACAATACAACTGGTAGAACGTGTTAAGAATGAATAAAATATATATTAATTAATTAATACAAACTGGTGAATATGTGCAATTACTGAATTCGAACCTCAGAACCATCAGTTCGTATTATTTTGTTTGATTTGCATCTATTAGAGCTGTCATCAATGTAATTGCTGAAAATACCTTCTGCATCATCTGAAAATTAAAAAGAACTCTACTAGAGTAATTGCCATAATATTATTAACACGAAAAATAAATTGAAATAGTACCTTTATAAAAAATATCAAGGTTTTTCACCTGTTTTAAATGTCGAAGAATAATAATAAAAGTCAGGGCCGGTATCATGGATTTCTGGCCCTAGAAAAATTGTGTTCGACTTGGCAGAACAGTTATGGGGTAAATACATAAAAAAGATATATCAGGGGCGGATGTTCAGGGGATCAGATCATGGTAAATTATATATATAGAAAAGGTACTCCCATCTTTTTTCGATGAGAAACTTGCAAAATGTGATTTTCAAACCCTTGATGGTGCACTGTAAAAAAATCGGTCCGAGTGAAAGCAATAAAAGTACGGAGTGAAACTATTGAGTGAAATTATTGAGTACATTTTCACTCAATATTGGGCATTTTGATAATTTTACTAAAACTGAGTATTTTCACTCAAATATACCCGTTAAATAAATTATCCAGTAAACTCGTATTTGGTACTCTTCTACCTAAATCGAAGTAAATGTCCTCATTATTGAGTGACCTCACCCCAATCTATGATTGTCGTGCGTTGTCTTTGTCTATTCCCATCTGTAACGTACAATATAGGTTATGGTAATCTATTCGTTCGATCAGTTAACCAATTCTATTAATCGAGAGCTAAAATATTGCTTCTAAAACAGATCTGTGGCAGCTTAGTAGTTTATGACTTTAATTCAATGATATTTAAATTAAAAATTTAAAGAGAATATAAATCAAGTCTGATTAAAAAATTACTTAATAATCGGTAAATTTATATCATTAAAGTCAGCTCTAAATTGGTTTTATATACTCAGAATAGAGTCAAAAGTCACTCAATTGTCAGTTGGCAGTAACTTGGATTTGAGTAAAACTCACTCATCTCTGACGCAATAGTTTCACTCAGTTGTACTCATACTAATAGAGTGAAAATTTCACTTAATCGAGTGTGGACAGAAATTGATACATTATTGAGTAAAATTGAGTGCAACTGAGTGATTTTTTTACAGTGTATCCATACGACAACATGGATTGTTGGTAGATTTAAATATTGTAGTTATTGAAATGAAACAAAAATTCCTATGAATTCAATTCATACAGCGCGATTAAAACAAAAAACGCATGGTAAATGGAATAGAGAAGATTGTTTACACTATGATTTCATGAATTATGAAAACTACATTCTTAGAGAAGGGGTGTTTAAACTGTCTTCCTTGCATGCCAATGCAAGCTCACATCTTAAAAATTAATTACATGACAAATATTCAATATTCCATGTTGAGCTCTAATTTTGTTGAAGCCTCCTTCTGTTCACTTTTGTAGAACTTGAAAATTCTCAGTTGCATGCACCAAACTTTTAAGACAGTCCCAAATAAAGAACTCCAGAGAAATTCGGATGCACACCATCGTATATGAACCACAAACCATGCCTGAAATTCAGTGCCACGTCTTCAGGTAATGACGGCAACACCTCTCTTAAAAAACGTAGACATGCATGACCATTTAATTGATTAGGCAGTGCAACTGGTCCTATTAACTTATCTCCAAGAGTGCCAATCCAAATATTTAAACAAAATCGTTGTTGACATCTAGCTTCACGTACCCGTAATGAAAATTTGATCTTCTGTATATCGTGCCCCATCCGTGAAAAGGATGAATGTTGCTATCTACAAAATGTTACCACAGTATGGTAGATCAAGTGTTTATAGCTGTTTCCAAGGGTTTCTTTTAACAAGAAGGTGACCAGCTACAAATGCCGTAATCAACTTTGAATAGGTACCTACTCTACTTTGAAAAACACTAGTTCAGAGTCTTCTCCCAATTTCTGCAAAATTTGCTGTTGATGTAGAAACAGATCTAAGTCTTCAAAAGTCCATAGGGTTTTTATCAAACAAGAGTATTCCAAGTCACGAACGATTTTAAATTTCGCTTTACTTTCAAATTGAACGTTTCCCAGTTTCGTATTGCGAAAACTGAAAAAGTTTCTACTGGAAACTACAGCACGAAGACAAACCACCACACTGAACAACAACCCAGATACCAGCACGGTAAAATTAAAACAAAAACTGATTTTTTTTCCCGTACGAATGTTTTTGCCCGTCGTAGCATCTATACTTAATTAAATTCGGATCTATCGAGAACAGGAGAATAGATTGATGATTTAGCGGCAAAATACTCACGTCTACCAACAGAGAGTTGTCTATTTTAGTGATTCCTCCTGCTTTGACTGAGATCCCTTCCTGTCCATTCATCATCATAAACGTACAGGCTCTTTTCATACGGGAATTAAAGAGATACCATTTAGAATCATAAATGGCATCTAGCATCAATAAGCTCTGAAAAAAATTACATGGATCATTTTCATAATTGGAGGCAAGCAATTCTTACCTGCGTGTTCATGTGGCTAGAGGGTATCGCGAAAATAGACAGCTCGACCAAGGTATTCAAAAAAAGACTGAAATACATTACATCTTGGTAAAAGCTGCTCCCGTCCTGAAATGCAAAATTCACGGTTTAAAATTTTATTCAGTCGAGACTAGACAGCTATTCAGAACAATGAAAATAAAAATAAAAATTTTATACTATCCATTAAGTTTTAAGATGTAACTCTGTCAACTGAACCAGTAATCTTGAAAAAGATAATAAATAATTATCGAAAGCTTGGTTTAAGTTAAATAAGAGTTTTCTTTCAACCATCAATTGACGACATCCCCAATATATAATTTTTTTGGTATATATATATATCCAATATAATACAGAGTGTTTCTGAAATAAGTGGGTTCCTTGAAAGGGGTGATAAGGGGCACGAAAATGATTAACTTTTATTCAGCAACTGATGGTTTAAATCCTTCATTTTCGAGAAAATTAATATAAGAAAATTAACCATAAATGTAAGCCGACCCTGTGCATCTTGTGCACGTGCACGGTCAGAATGCTTCAGACTCGCTACATGCGTGAAGAGCTTCTCTAATTGGCTGACGTTCCACGTGACTTCCACAATCAAGCAAATGTTTTCTGATCAAGAACTAGCAGATATGGTGTTAATGTACGGAGAATGTCGGTACAACTTAAATGAGACTTGTGGTTTGTATGCGGTCCGTTACCGTACTGACAACCTGTCAGTAGAACAGTGCACAAGGCAGTTCAAAGGTTACGGGATACCGGAAATGTCCAGCTGACATATGAAACTCGTGGACGTAAATTTAGTTGTAAGTTAATCATAAGTACTTCCTGCAAACTTTAGCAATTCATGCCTGTTATAGGCGCCATATTGGATCCGTCATTTTGAGATTCGACAATCTGACCCGGGAAATTAACACAACGAGTTTAAAGAATCCCCCAGTGAGCCTTGTTAAGTTAAAATGAATGATTATGGGATCGTTAGTATCGATTTCATAATAATATCTGCGAAGTTTTACCCCTACGTGCGCTATTTTGGATCCACCATCTTGAGATTCTATTAATTGACTTTAGAATATTATTCATAATCCAATAAGGCCCCAAGGCTTTTTGGGGTAAATTTAATTGCTGAGCGATCTTTTCTGTATTTTAGTGGCTTTGGGGTGTTATAGGCGCCATATTGAATCTGCCAATTCGAAATACGCAAAAAAACTATAGTTACTTTAAAAACGCATCAAATACATATATTTTAGTACTATATCTGATTAAATTGATATTGATGTAAGATTTTTACAAATGTTCTTTTCTAATATATGATTTTTCTGCTGACTTCTAGCCGCCATAGTAGGTCGCCTTTTTGAATTTTTCGAAGGAGCCACACGCCTTTCGAAAGGAGCATTCCTAACGAATGTTTTAAGCTCTTATTCGATCACAACGTGAATTTTGGGCACAGCTTAGTTCCGTTTGACGCGAAACGTCCCTTATATATAATAGAAATAACAGCGGCCCCAGAACAGAACCTTAGGTACTCCAAAATTCAAATTTAAAATATTGGATTTGTCATTGTTATGAACCACGTATTATTGTCTATGATCATAAAATCCACCGTTTATAAATGATATCAACATGTCTTTTGCAAGTGTAGTTGACATATTACTTCTGAAATTGAACTGATTAGGACTGAAGAGGTTACTATTTTCTAAATATACGAGAAGTTGTTTTTTCAATATTATTTCGTAAATTTTTTTTGCACAACAGGGGATGATCGATATAAGTCTGTAATTTGATGGATCGTTGGTATCATTTTTTTTAAGATAGATATAATTTTAGATTAGTGTCTTTACTATTTTTACACAAATATCGTCATGAAAGACATACCGTAGCTAATATGAATCCACTAACCACCAGTCCAGCGTAAGTTAGGGCTAGTTGTGGAACCAGAACTAGTGAACAGAAACGTCCGAGATTTTCACCATACCTGAAAAAATTACGTAGCTATATTAAAATTTCAGGAAGAAATGAATAGATATTAGACATACCTACAGGGTCAATCTGAATGTGTACATGTACTAAACAAACAAACAAACAAACAAACAAACAAACAAACAAACAAACAAACAAACAAACAAACAAACAAACAAACAAACAAACAAACAAACAAACATGTGAAGTTAAATAAAAGCTTGTAAAAATACACATTATTATAGTTGTTCTACATATGATAGTTGACGTTTCGAAAAATCGATTTTTTTGTTTTTTTTTTAAACTGGAACGATGTTTTTTAAATTTCTTAATTTATTTTTATAACTACAGAAATTACATGTTTTCCATTTTGCTACTGACATTTTCAATGTACCTACTTTTTTGCAAACTTACTTTAACAGTTTGGAGTGATTCTCCGCGCAAATCTTCATCCTATCCATAACAGTGTCTTGGAAATCTTCCGAATTGAATTTCTCCACGTCTGACAAATCAACCATAACGTCCTCTGTTATATTTCTCAACAGGTCTTGGAGTATCATAAGCTGTACAACAAGATGCTGCGCGCAGTACACATAGAAATAGTCGTAGATTATATTGGTCAAGGCAGTCAGTAGTCCATTTAGGAGTATAATGACAAACGCAATTTCATGTAAGGGGCTAGGATTTAAATCGATAGGACTCCAGACGACCTTGGGCAACAACCTATCGCTCTCCGATTGCATTGGTGTCATCGGAAAAATCTGGAGAAGTAAATAACAAATAATCACATTTGTTACGACACTCCATAAGACTAGACTGCTGTATTTGTATCTAGTAATCGCTTGTTTCTGTACTTCTGGCCCGCAAATTCGAAAATCCCAAAATTCTGACTCGATCGTATTGTATAAGTACTTCACTCGATTTTTATCGAAGTAAAGGTAAATCGCCTTCAACAAAGCCTGCAAGAACAGTTTTAATCAGAAAAAAGCGGTAATCATTTCTACCAGATAAAGTCGATTCCCAAATAGCACATATTCGTTCTATATCTATGCACATCCTAATACTGGTTGCTCTGAATATTCTGTACATTCATAATTTAACCGTTTGGCGATTTCAGATGGACTTCAATGAATGACTTCTTAAACGCACTTATTTCAGAAACATCTTGTGTATCAAAACAGATTATCCTATGAATATCCAAAACAACTCACCCAAAAATAACAAAAACCGGATATCCATAGATCACATGCTATATGAGTTATTTAATAAAAAAAATTGTATTCACCGTTATCGTTATAGGAATTGTAGCGCTCAAATCAACAACCCTTCTCGGTCTATCTAGACATTGGAATATAACCGTAACTCTACTAACGAGAAGAAGAATTTCTAAGCTTATGACGCCGATCCAGAAATACTTTGTCTTGCCATCAAAGTCGTGCAATTTCAAAAATTTCCTCATCGATGCCATGTGGTCATCTGGAAATAATTTTCTTTTGAATAATGATCAGTTTTAATTACAAACTTGCCTTTGACAAATTTTTCAGTGGGGTTACTTTCCTTCAACTACAGAGAAAATGAAAATGCCTATTTCTTAAAAATACATTTTTTAAATATTTTTGGTGATTTGGAATTAAATAAATTAAATCGATATTTTTTCCTTATTTTAATTTGAAATTTTATTTTGCGAATATGACGTCATTTGAAAAAAGTAGGAAAATCACTAAAATTTGGCATGTTGATGTGGTGGTACAACCGTTAGCGATCACTGACCTTGAGTCTTCAGTGATATAAGTGACCCCCCCTTTAACTTTTTTGTTTTAAGTTATAAAAAATGTAAAATACAAAAGTTGCACGATTTTCTATGAATTTTTCGAAAATGATATCTGAAAAACAAACAAAATGGCCGCGGATGTTAACTTTGTTAATTTAAATGGAACACCCTGTATATTTTAACATATTTGGATAGAACGTTCTCTGTCGAGCATAGTCATATAGGGTTTGTTGGACCCATCTCTAACAATAAGCGAGATACTTTTAAAAAAAGAAAAGAATATCTCTTATTAAGAAAATAAGATATCTTGTGATTGTTAGACATTAGACCTCTTTCAGGCACTTCTGCCTTTTTTCCAATTACATAATAATTAACAGATATAGTTGTAATATATTTTGACATATCGGACATTGATATGGTCCAAAGTGCGTGTCATTAATTAGGTCGTGAGAGGCCTAATTACTCATGGACAATGTTATATGGTAGGCCGTGACAGTGACAGGTAATGTCATGATAACATTGTTATTGATTGACAGTTTGTATTATTATTTAATTGAAATAGGTTATAAAGAAGTAGAAAATTGAAAAATTATTAGGAATTATATATTAATATTAGGCAAAAGTTCTTATAATTATCGTCTTATACGTTATTTCTAATTTGCAGCATCAGTTTTTCACAACAGATTCTAAATAAATTGCTCTTAAAAATGCAAAATCAGTGATGCTGACGCACGCAAAAATTACATTTGGAGCAACACTTGAAATTTTCAGTTAGTCACAACGCATATTTAATTTTTTATGGCTCAAATATGGTCAAAAGAAAAAAGAAGAAATGGGTTCATCTTTGGATTTAATTAAAATGTTGAAAAATACCCCATTCTGGTTCATTAAGAATGAGGACACTGCTGTAAATTTTTTATGGGTTGCCAGTTTTTCGAGCCGCACCCTTATTGGGATCTCGGTTGTTTTAATAGATACAAATCCGGTGATATTAGGGTAAAATTGTACAAATTCATGATGAACAGCTTGCCGAGAAGAGAAATTTGACTTATCTTTTTTCGTTTTCAGGTTATCTACAAAAAGTTATTCTTTTTTAATCGAAAACGGAACGAAGTGGACAGTTTAACTCGGAGATTATTGGCGTATTTTTTTTGTAGGGAATTCGCATTTGCCACGGTGGAGAATAAGCGACATGTAACTTTTCTTTTTCTTATATGCTACGTATTGAACTTCGCATTATTTAATTCAGCGCATTTGTTGCGACGATGAGTATGTCGTAGGAAAAGGTTTTTCGTTTTCATCGAAATACCAAATTGCCACTTCTTTTACAAACAAAAGAAATATATACAATTACTTCAAGCGAAATTTTGAGAGTTCTGGTAAATAGTTTAGGCGATTAAAAATACAATGTAGTATGTAGTTCAACAAATTAAACAAAGCTAGATATTCTAGCTAGATGTTTAATGTGAAAATTGCACTTTTGTCGAATATTTTGTTAATAAAATTTATTATGTTTTTCATTCAGTTTAAAAATAAAGGAGGCCTTGAAAAATTATCCAATTACTGACACCTTAGAGCATATACTACTGCTCTAAGACTGACACTGCTGATACGTAGGTAGGTACCTAAATAATATAGTCTGCTTACGGGCCTAAAACTGACAATTTTTTTTTCTCATAAGGCACTTCCAACGCCTCCTAGATTTTTAAACGAAAATAGAATGTATAAATTTAAAACTTTTAAATTTGTATGAAAAAATTAATATACAGTATTATGTTACAAATAAATTGACATTTGAGGGGAATCCTGATTCTTAATGGGCCTCATTACAAAATTATTTAAAAAAAACACGTACCTCTCAAAATGAATTCACCGGGTTTAGGAAACTTTATCACCATGTTGTTCGTCAGACGCCGCAAATTTTCAATCTAGGCCGATACAACTGTTTACATGTAAATATACTACATTTTCTGCTGCATAGTTTTTAAAAATGTATAAATTGCGGTAAAATACGGGATGTCCCACCAGTCTGTCATGTTGAATGATTTCTTGACGTTTGAAAGCGACTCTTCTTCAAAAAGTAAAACGGTATGACTTTCCGTAATATGTTTTCAGAAAATTCGGAACTGAGTTAAAAATAGTAGATGGCGTGTTCTGTTAGCATCGTCTGCTACGACTGATGGTGTTTGGCCGCAATCGGAGCTTCGTAGAGGAACTTTGGGAAAATTTCAAAACATCAGTGAAATTTTGTACTCCACTTCCGATGTGTGTCGGTAGATCATCTGCGATCTCTTTTTTATAGTTATTGGTTTTTGTCGGGACTTGTGCCCCGTGAATGACTTTTAAAAAGTTTCTTGAATTATAACATGTTTGAAAATTCGACAACCGCTTCGGTCTCGTACTACGACAAAAAATTTATTTAGTAAGAATTGCACTTTTACGTTAAATCAACTCTTTATACACTACAAATTTAGTATTGGTCAGTAATTTGAGTGCACAAAGATGATACACTTGATTTGATAGGCAATATGTGTTTATACAAATCACACAGTCTTTTAGGCATCTTACATATTTTGCACACGCTCAGCAGCTGTTTCAATTTTTTGTTGCATCACGTTTATGCGTTCTCTACACCAAGGTTTCCCAATTTTTTTTTCGCGGAACACCAGTGTTCCGTGGGATGTTAGCAGGTGTTCTGCAAAAAAAACTGATAAACCTATATTGATGATGACGCTTAGGTTAGAAATCCTTTCTGTGTATCTCATAAGCCAGCAATTTTCAGTGCTATTGATTGTGAAAGCTTTATCGATTTAATAAGTGACACCAACTTAAAACAAAAATTTAAAGAAGAGTCAATAAGTTATTTTTGGCTAAACTTAACTGAAGAATATCCCAACTTATCAAAAGGAGCTGTTTTTGTTTTACTTCCTTTTTCTACCACTTCCTTTTTCTGCTAAGCACGACTTTTTTATTGCTCTGCAACGAAGACGAAGTTGAGGAACAGACTTCAGATATCAGAAATCAATTATCGAATATAATTTGTTCCTGGTATCAATAAAATTTGCAACTCAAAGATGCAATACCGCCAAAGCCATTGATTAACCATTAAGTAGGTACTTATTTTTTGTAATATCATTTTAGTTTTGTTGTTTCTAAGTTTATATTAATTATTATTTATGTTCTTTGTTTCTGAATTATCATTCTTATCAAATGAATAAATAAATAATTGTCATTTATTAAACCTAAAACAATTGTTTTTACTACCTAAACACCTTCACTTGAAACTCTACCTCTCTGTGCCAGAATGCTAGAACCATAAAATGAATATGGTGTTCCGTCACTTACAAAAAGTTTTGGAAGTCCTGCTCTACACAATTCCTATTTGTAACTACATACTTGTAGAATGAAATGCTGACCGACTCTAAATAAGCAATTTTACTGAACATTTTAAAGTAATAATAGCAGTAACTATGGTTGTACCCTATGTATGTGCACCGAAATATTTGATTTTATTTCAAGTGTCATTTAAAATTCTTTTTTTTCAAATATTTGTCCTACTTTGAAAGAAGATAATGGCTTTGATAAGAATCATATTATTAAACAAATAATCTTTAAAAATTTCACAGGATACAAACTGTATAACATTTTACTGCAAAATGTTTAAAATTTTATTAAGGAAAATTTGTACCTACCGTATTATCAGAAGCGTCATTAAGTCACATACTATTAGAACATATGTAATTGTAAATCAAACGTTACATCATTATAAAAATTATAGATTCCCTGTTCCTGATTATCGATTAAAAATTATGTTTTACTTGTTCAAAAGCTGATTTCGTCGCAAAAAATATGTATATATTTTACCCAGGGTCAGAATAACGTAGTTTGCTTAAGTTTTTATGAATCGTGTATTCGTATTTTCGTATTTATGAAGAACCAAAATACAGGGTGACCCTTAAATATATACAGATATTTTAACTGCGGATATAATTCGCGATGTGAATGAGTCATAAAGTTAATTTTCAAAACTGCAAATATATATTTTTTTTAAATCCGCCCGTTGCAAATACATTTCCGCTGTAAGCGGATAAGGTAATTATTTATGTCAGCACACCAAATAATTTGGAAAATTATGCTTAGAAGATTTTATATTTTGACATTGACAGCTGAACTGTACTACTGTTACTTGTAAAGTAGGTAAAGACACAGTTAGGAAAGTTAAGACAGGTAGTATTAAAAAGTTATGAAATTCTAAACAAAGCCACTTCAGCAGCCAATACAATACAGCTCAAAATTAAACCGTGAACAATTTAAAATTAAGTAGAATCCAATTCTGTTCCAAACACTTACGAAGGTCAACGGAGCCTCTGCTGTTCAGTTAAAATGAGACGGTACTGGGTATTTTTGTATTCTTATTTTCAAGCTTCTGTATGATATTATAAAAAAGCATACCTATTTACGAATCATGGAAGGGTTGATATGGTTAGAACCTCTTTTTTGTCAGGAGAAAATAATGCTGTTGCAAGAAGACGATATCAGATCCCGAGATTCCCGACCGATAAGTACCAAATAAGAAAATATTTGTAAGACTGGTACGACATTTAACAGATTATGAGAACTTTGGTTGCCACACCCTAGTGGTGGATGGTGGATGGAAACAAATTCAAATAGTGAGAAAGGAACCAGAAATTTTAAACACCTTGGAAGATGATCCTGATGATATCAGCGCTCGAAGATTAGCCACAAGATTTCAAGTATGTCATATGTTGAAAAAATCCGGTAAGTAAACAGATTTACTTATTTTTGCGTATTTCATTTATCATTATTCATTACTGTTTTACTCTAGTCGAATTAGAGTTTCAACTTGAAAACATTATTAGTAGACATTTTATTGCACTTTATGACGGGGAAGAGTATGTAGAATGATAATATCAAAAAAATAACTCGAAAGAAGTGACGCTAAGTTTTCAAATTGCAAATAAGTGACAAATTTATCTGTTTTTTTTGCCCACGAAAATCTAGACGACCTATCGGAATATTAGTTGTTTTATGTTGTAGTCAATTAAATTACCTACAATTTAAAATACCTACCCAAAGTCATATTTAAGCAATTTGTAAAATAAATATTGAACGCGGAAAAATCAGTTTTCGAAAATTGCGCATTATTATTGGAAAAGGAATGGATGTTAATGAAATTTATGGAAAAGACGGTCAATCCGAAGACCAACATGTGTGCCAAAGGCCGATTCGATTGATCGTGAAATTATTTTAGAAGTTAATATCTTAGATGTAGGCTCTAGTTGATCCGAAGAAACGTATCGAAAAAGAAAAATTTCAAGAAGTTGAAATTAAAATAAATTGTCTGTCTCAGAGATGGCCAAAAGCCGCTCGGGTATTCGCTCTTTTTGCTTTAAATAGAGCTTATTTTTACGGTAATTTTAAGAAAAAAGAGAAATCACCTTTGTTCTTTTTGTTTTTATAACATTAATTATTAATTAATTATTAGACATATCGGACCGGGATTTTAGAGACAATTAAAAAAAGGGTTATACTTTTATTTTCAAAAAGTTTTACATTGATAGTTCATGTAATAAACGCGCTAGCAGCGGTAAAAGATAATGAACGTGCAGGCCACGCGGGAAAAGAAGCGCCGGGCCCGCGAATATTCGAATAATAGGGCTCGTTGCGGATACCCATTCAATAACAATAGCACGCCAAAGAACAGCACTTCATAGCAGGTGGTGTGGAAATTCGCTTGTTAATAAAAATTGCTTTTTAACAACCTTTGCTTTAAATTGTTAAATTTGACAACAACACAATAATATACATACCGCAGTTCCCAAAGAGATTAACGCGCGCCCTTATTGTTTATTGATGAAAATAGGAATGACAAGGGCGAGAGGAAGCCCAAAGTATTTTTATGAAAATATTTCAGTAGAAGTTTCTGACGTATCATCTAAAAAAATGCATGTTTTTTAAATTATTTTCATCCTATTTCATATAAAAAGAGTTTAAGAGTTCTGTAAGACACCGGCAATATTGCGTGATTGATTTATGCTAGTCATAAATAAAATAAATTTAAATTTTGTTTTTTTTTATTCCTAATTTTTTCCCAAAAAGCTATATAAAATATATATGTATGCATTTAAGGTTCACCCTGTACATGTATAATAGTTAATATTTGATATTTCAAAAAAATACAGCTTTCTATAAGCTTCTTTCAAATAAGATTTTTCCTGAGTCTATAACTTCTAAACTGGCTAAAAGGTAAGTTGCCAAAAATGACTTGCATTTTTAATTTTACGCCACTTGAAAGAAAACAGTACCTAAATCCATGATTATTAAAAGTATATTATTATGGCCATTTCGTACTTTGACTAAAGATAAGTTTAAATTTTTAAAAAGTTTAAAACATTTCTGCGAATTGCGATACGTGTTTAGTGTTAAATAAAAAATCCCTAGATGAAAGGAAAGGAAGTGTATAGTGTATCGTCAACGAAATTATTTATACTTTACGGAAAAAGGAATATTTCAAAATTCGAACATATACTACCTACTAGAGGTAGCCTACTAGGAGGTGTAGGTAGCGAAAAATGTGCCTGAGTGTGCAAGAGAGACAGACAGAACCTCAGTACAGGCTGTCTCATTATTCACTTCAACGACGGGAGCCCCTTCCTTAGAGCATAGTACTACTGGAGGCAGGGTGCCAGTGGGCGACTGGTAGAGGTTGTAGAGAGAGAGGTATAGAAGGGTATATGCTATCTCTTTCTAGCAGCAAGCGATTGGCTGCTAGAGATAGCATATACTCTCCCAAACCCCTCTCACTCTACAATCTACGCTACACTCTCAACCACTGGGACGCTGCCTCCAGTAGTATAATATGCTCTAAGGGGAGCCTTGTGGGATCTAATCCAACCAATCGCGTGCGTGCTAGAGTGAGACATGCTGTCTCACTATCTGAGTAGTACTGACTCGGTACTGAGATACTGTCTGTCTCTCTCGCAACTCAGACAGATTTCAATAGTTATTTGACTCAAGTTAAATATTTTGCGAAATATTATATGTTTACAAAGCAGACGATAGTATTAAATTTGATATTATTTAGATCACCGTCTTTGTACAATTTTTATTCTTCCGGTAAAGTGTTGCCGAACAAGTAGACACTGATACATACACGATACACGTGTCTTTGTCTATGATACACGTCAAGCTGTCAAAGTCAAGCGCGACTTGCAGAGCAGGAAAAGGGAATCAAATTCCGAACTGTCAAATCAGTTACTTTTCTTTTCTTGTCTGGTCATTTGTGTAATTAAAATATTTATGCAAATATTCAGTGCTTGGTGTATCTACGTGTAAAAAAAATATTTGTACTTATATTAAAAGTTATATCACAAGAAAAGTTTTCAATTAAAAAATGGATATTCTTGAAAAACGTAAGTTAAAATAATGTAATTTGAAACACTAATAATTAGTTGATTTTTAGCTGTTTTGTTACTGGCAAATTATGGTTGGTATATATTAGGTGTTGGTGTAGTTCTAGCATATTTTTATCAAAAAGCTTTGAGATTTCACATCGATGCTTATAAAAAACGAAAGGGTGAGGAAGAGTATGCAGCAAAGTATCACAAAAGTAAGTAGGCGGAACATCAACTTTCTGTAGGCGTTACAAAGGATTTACTTACTTTTGTGCTACATAATACTTTATATTATAGATCCCGATCTGTTTGTTGCTAGGCAAGTTGCCCAGCAAGAGTATGCAATGAAGTTACAGGAAAAATACAGGCTAGACGCAGAGGAACATGAAAGGAAAATGAAGGAGGTAACGTTTATAAACATATAATTACTAGCTATGATTTCTATTTTAAAATATCGTTTTAGAAAGAACGTAAGAAACAAGAGGAAATATTGCAGAAGTATGAAGGACAAGGTGGACAAAAAAGTGGTTATAAAGACGATGGAGTTAATTCGTCTAGACCCGGTATGTCAAATCAAATTTAATACACAAGGGAAATGTTTGAACAGTTAATTGATTTTACATTTTTCAGAATATAATCCTCTCATGGGGGCTGGCAGTTCCTCTAGCTATAGGGCTCCGAAAAGAAGTGCATGTAGCCGCGGGGGATGTGGTTAATTAAAATCTTAAATGAAATTTAAACAAAAATAAATGTAAATTTACGCTATTAATTTTATTGAAATTTTTTATTACTGGAACAGGAATATTTACTAATATATTAAAAATTATTAAACCAAAAGATTTCTCTTAAAGTAAACCTTGTCTTTTGAGATCTTCATAAGTTTTCCTGTTAACAACGTTCCCTTGAGAATCTTCGTACTCTTCTTCCGTTTCTGGTTGCCAACGTTCGCTCTGCTTTTGTACCTTCAGTTTCTCCCACACTACGAAATTAAAGATAACAAATTAAACGAGTTATGCAGAGTGTCTGATAAGTATCTACCAATCTCTTGAGAACAAATAGATGTCAAAATAATTTATTTTATTGTTCTTCCTAATGGAGACACGTACATGTCGGGCCTCAAAAAGGCACCTAGAAATTTATGTTTTGGGTTCTAATACTAAATACTAAAGTCGACTTATATATTGTGATAAAATTTCAGCATATTGATTTGATATTTTACTATTATAAGGTATCCAGGAATGAAGTGGTCCTAATTTCTTTTTTCAAAATGTTGACAAATATAATATCGAACTGAAATTATTTTAAGATACTCTGCACACTTTAAAAAAGGTTTTCATTTATTTCAATAAAATGAACGGTTTCTGAAACTGTAGTAAAAACACCGTGTATCTAATTTATTTAAGTTTAAAAATACAAAATCCTTTGAAATAGCTTACGAAAAACAAATTAAAGATTAAAAATAAACATTTACTAGACAAGCGTTCAAAATTTCATCTCATTTTGAGCGTTCAATGCGTGAATATCAAATGCTTTAAATAATGACCGGTTGAGAAGGACTTATTTTGTGGACACCTAGGTCACCCGACCTAAATCCATTTGACTATTTTCTGTAGGGTCATCCAAAAGAACTCTTTTATTCAACACTCGTAAATACAAGGAAAGAAGTTTTGCTGAGAATAACGGAGAATTATAATCAGATTCGTAACAATCTATTATTATTATTATTATTATTATTATTAAATCTTGGAATATTATTTCATGTGTTGTAGAAAAAAAAGTGTATGAGGAGCTGATTTTGATCACTTCTAGATGTGATATTTACCTTTTTCTCATTTTGAGTTACGTACCGTTGGTAAAGAAAAATCTTCATGTAGTACAGTCATCGAAGCTTTTTACCTCGGAATTTTTTGAAACTGAAACGATTTGGTGGATAGTTAGAGAAAAGGTCAATGAACATTAGTGACATAGCGCCGATTGACGCTTCCACCCTGTTAGGGGTGGACACCCCTTCTCGGGGATGGAATTTTTTTTTAAATAACGCTGGAAATCGATAATCAAATTTTGAGCAAAAAATATTTGAAGAATTTTTTTGAGAAATCAATAGTTTTTTAGTTATTCACGATTGAAAACTTGGAATTTTGAGTGAAAAAAAAAACAAAAGTATTTTTCGGGTACTTGTTTGGGGAAAATACTCGAATCGATATATTCAACGTCAAATATCAGAAAAATATTAATTTTACGTGTATAACGCTCCATGAGTTTTTTGTAGTACTCAATAAGACCTTCAAAATGAGCACTTATAAAAGTTAATTAGAGTAAATTTGAAGGAGTTATCGTCAAAAACAGATGGGTTGCTCATATTTTTAAGGAAAAATGACCAGTAAACACTACCATTTCCATCAGAATTAAAATTAATGGTAGACTATTTACAATTAGTTTTGTTTTAGTGTTTTTCATACGATCCTGAAGTTAGACCGGTTTAGAATGCGTATTTTTTGAATAATGTACGGTAAAAGTTGAAAACGTATTTTTCATTATCCAAAAAAAAAATTGCCTTGTTTATATAATAACTGAAACTATGAAAGATACGAAAAAAATTATAGACGACAAAAATGTAACTTTTTTTTCAACATTTATTTTGCTTTTTTTTATTCCGATAGCATAAAAAATAAAGGAGATATCGCCGCTTGAAGTATCCATTTTAGTGAAAAAACGACCTGTCTCGAGCCCTTCGATCCTTTCCCTTTAAAAAATGAAGAACTTAAAAAATTTTATATGCAAATGATCTTACAGTTATTATTATATTAGGAAATTATCTTTAAAATGCTTTTTTGTAAGACACTATAGCTTCAAAAAACCGAGTTTAGTAAAAAAACCAATGACATTTTCTCGGAGCAAAATAGGCTTTCTCATTTTTATATATTATATATTATATTATACAAACAAAATAAGTAAATTATACAAATAAAATAAGTAAAAATTTAGTATGATTATTTATATGCAGCGTAGCAATTTTTTTTATGATTGATTATATTTAAAAATCGATTATAATAAAAATATTTTACATTAATATTGGTAAAAGGGTAGTTTAAGAGTTGAAAATGGCAAAAGTAAAATATTCTTTCATAAACAATATAAGGGAATTTTTATTTTAAATTATTGCACAATTATAGCATTCCAAGATTTAAAACGTAATTTTTTATCATTTTTTTAGCACAGGGGTGATTTATAAGGGTTGAAAAGTGTTATGAGATACAAATTCTTTTATAAGCAATGAGGGAATTTTTATTTTAAATAATTGCACCGTTAAAGCATTGCAAGCTTTTAAAAAGTAATTTTTTATCATTTTTGTCAATACAGGGGTGGTTTTTAGGGGTTGAAAGGGAAAAATTATTTTATTAGCTATAAGGTAACCTTTATTTTAAATAATTGCACGATTTAATCATTCCAAATTTTTAAAAAGTAATTTTTTATCATTTTTTGCAAAGGGGTAGTTTTTAAGGGTTAAGTAAAGGGTCGAAAAGATCAAATATATCATAAAACATGTTCGAGAACATGGAACATTATTTAATCTTTGTGCTTGAACAAGATTTTTATCAATAAAATGCTTAAAACTTAATTTTTTGAATTTTTTTCACTTAGGGGTAGTTTTTACCTCTAAAAAACAAAGTATCAATCAGGCTTACGTCACTTTTGAACTTGAGCCTAAGATTTTCAGCTTCAATGACTGTATTAATGGTATCTCAGAATATTATTTTCGGTTTTATAACATATTTGTCAAAATTTTGAAAATTGTTCCGTGCCAGTCTTTTAGTGCATACCTTGTAATAATAAAAAGCTGGTCAAATCATGGAGCCCTATATGTAATATACCATACCAAAACTTTATCAGAATGTACACGGTGATTTTAAAGTTAGAACCCAAAATGTAAATCTCTATTTACCCCTTTGAGCTCAATATCTTTGTAGGGACGAAAATTATTACTGATAAAAATTATACGTCCCAGTGTTATTTTGACATGCTTTATATGCTCTCAGGATTAGCAGATTCTTAATGGACACCCCACATACTCTTGATATCAAAATTAAACCACTGAAACGGGCTCCAATTCCAAAAATTTTTATTGAAATTCAATTTTCGGAGAGTGACAGACGAAGTAAGTTTTTTTCCTTAAGATTTAAAACACCCTGTAGAGTATACCAGCTAAATTAACAAGTGTCTTCTTAAATCAAAGGTAGTCCTATTTTTTCTTAATAATCTTTTTCATCCATGTCACTGTCTCTGTTATTAATTGAGATACACAGTTAAAACAATTAGACACAACTATAGTAACAATTAAAAAAAAAACAATGGCAAGAAAGAAAGAAAGAACCAAATCAATAATGAAAACAAAGAAAAAAAATCAATACTTCTAACAAACACTTCATATTGACGAATCATACTCGACACCAGTTTTCATAAACGTGGAGGATGTTAAAGTTGTCTAAAAAACAGTGATAGTATAAGCGTACTATCATTGTTTTTTTTTACTTGTTTTTACATTTTTGCAAAAAAACTGGTGGGCTTGCTTGCTTATATCTATGCAAATGGAATATTTGAAAACCTTGAAATATCAGGAAATTTTTTGCTCACAATTTAATAAACACCCTGAATTCTGAAATTGGAACCAGTTTTTGTGATGCACCGAGTGCGACACGAAGAGTACATTAGTATACTTTGCTTACATGCCAACGCGTCCTCGATTTGTGTGACGTTTGCGAAGTGAGCTGTATTGGGAATCCCCAAGCACCTCATACCGTGGGCGTGCCTCCATTCGGCAAAGTGCCGTTGAAACGCCTTCGGCCCCTTGTAAACGTAATTACCACAGATTTCGCAGTTGTAACTTATATTCAATCCGTGAAGCTTGTAAAGCCAATAAGGAATAGGCTGCAAAATAAAACGATATCAAAAAACATTAGCTAGCTTAAAAAAAAGTAGATATAACGCATGTACCTTTCCATCCCATCCTAAAGGTAAATTCTTGGGATTGTAAGGCACGTCGTCGTCGGCCTCGTCGGGACTGTCATCCTCACTTTCCTCGTTTTCGCTATCGTCTCGCTCACCATCCGTTCTAGCTTGCTTCCTCTGAACATTTTCCTTGGTGGCGCCACGTTGTGGAGCCACTATATCTGCAAGTCTATCATAACGGTGGTTCTTTGAAATACAAAATAACTGAATCGTTTTTGTAAATTTTATAGCATCTAGATTAGTAGGTTACTCTTTGTCAGTACGTAGAAAGTGATTGAATTCGGTCTGTGTTTGGTCATGCTGTTCACGAATGATAGATGTTTACTGGATATTTAAATAATTTGAACAGATGCCTGACGAATTGGCACCAACCTTTTAAATTGTACAAATAAACCTGATATTTATTTGTAGAAAACAAGAATTTCGAATCTCCAAGTCCGAAGTGACCAAAGACATACGAACAGGATTGACAATTATTACCAGAACAAAAATGACGTCTTTACACGTGTTAACTCGAGTAAACACACATTAAACAGATGATTATATAATTTTGAATCTTTTTTATTGCACAAAATGAGCAAAAATGAAAATCTGATGAAATACTTGTTAAATATTTTGCGCGTCTTTTGAAAATAATTAAAAAAAAAAAATAAGAAACAACTTTATTACCTGTACACTTGCGCTTCTAATGTGGCCAGTTCTCGTTGACGCAACTGTTCTTTTTCTTTACTGGCTTTTCCTTTGTTATTTTTGGTCATTAACGAAGGATCCAATGAGCCTTTCCCCTTTGTAGAAAACAATCTCTGAGCTCTTTCTTCCAAGGTGCTAAAAAATAAACGAATAAGAAAACAAAGCACGTTACGAGTTAAATAAAACTCGTACCCTCCACATTTTAGGCCCAGCGCCATAAGCGCAGACTTCAGACGATCCAGACCAAGAGACGCCAATTCCTCCCAACTGGAAAAAGCCGAGAGATCCAAGTGAGCCCCCACGTTAGTCAACGCAGACCCAGTTTCTTTCTGTAAAGAAAAATGTTACATCGCCTTAGCATTCGCTTAAAATAAATTATTTACCGGCCATCCAGGAACAGTTCCACTTTCCCAAGTAGCCAGGACTTGGTTAACTTCTTCTTGTAGGTCCGCATCCATGTCCATTAAAGGCTTGATTCTTTGTACAAACCACGTCAGGTACTCTATGAGGCATAACAAATATTTCCGATATTCGCCCGTTTTTCTCTCTTTCGGGATATCGTACAACTGGTCAAACATACCGAGATATGTTATGTAATCCACTTTCTGTAAGAGATAAAAAGGGTTATTAATTATTGTAGTAATACTTTTTAATGATATGTAGAACTACAAAATTTGGTAGATACAGCCTTCTAGTTATTAAAAAAATCAAAATTGGCCTTGAAAAGTTTTTAAGTCGATCGCCCGTATATTCAAACCATACAGTACAGAAAGCTAATGTTTATCGCTATTTTTTGTGAAGATTCAACTTAGGAATAATAATTAATAATAATATCATTTTATATAAACAGTATGCAACAAACGTTACCTCTATCCCTTTCAGATTGATATATTTTTCGTAGCACTCGTGTAAATCCAAGTATTTTCCATAACCTTCTTCATCGGTAAATTCAACAAAATCTTCAAAGAAAAACAGATTAAAATAAATAATACACTCATTTACTGTTGTTACTTACTCGCCATATCTTCGTTGGGATTTTCTCTAGCTTTGGCAAATTCATCAAACTCCACTGACATGGGAACACTTATCTAAGAAAAATTAACATAAATCATTAATTCATTTTTTGATTTTTTTTGTTTCTTACTTCATTCGGATGTTTTCTATAAAAATCCTTTATCTGCTTCAATCTGCTATAAAATTCCTGGAACTCATTAGGTCCAGTTAAAGCAGCAACTTCTGCTTTACGCTGGCCATCTTTGTCTTCGTATAATTCAATGAGACGATCGGTTGAAGTCATATACCGATCCAGTAGGTATTTTAAACGATGATCAGAATTAATTGTTTCTCGATACTAAAATGTTAATCTATTAAATAACTTTTAGAATTATCATATGAAATAACTTACAGTATTTTTTTTGTGAAGCATTTCTTTCACCATAGCGTCCACTAAACGTTCTTTCTCTTCATGGTAACGCCGTTGTTGTTCTAAAATTGTCTCCATGTTTAATTTAACAGTGCGGAAGTTTATTCTGCACTTCTATTTCTTAAATTTCTGTTTCTAAGTCACAAAATAAACAAATATAAATTCAGTTTAATATTTATTTGTAGTAAACGTCATAACAGAGTCACAGATTACCAACAGTAAACAGGGTTACTGATGCCATAACCTTTATTTATTTTGACAATAATGACAAGATATACCATAGAACATTATTCATCATTTGAGGAATATCATAGCTGCGGAACTGCGCCTGAAAAGTCTGTGATTCTTCTACTGTTCTACTCTTTAAATACTCCAAACATCTGAAAATCCTCCGAGAAAAACAAAACAAGTAAGTATTCAAATTACTTTCAAGTACTCCTTTTAATATTATTGTGATGAGCCAAAAGCCAGAGCCTAACATAAATTTAACTTAAGCACAAAATAATAACCGTACCCACTAAACATTTTTCAGTTTCTGACATGTTTCAGAAACGTTTCCATTTTTCTTGAAACGTTTCATAAAAAATCCATGCAACGTTCTGGTAACGTTCTAGAAGCCCAAAATGTCCTCCCCAAAATACGTTTCCAATGAAACGTTTCAAAAAATTGGTTTCAGAAACATTCTTTTTATGTTCCATTTATGCCCTCGATATTTTTGTTTTACGTTTCAGTATATTTTCAGAAATGTTTGAGTAACATAATAATTTTATTACCATATTGTTATCATAATGCTCTCAACTTTAGATAATTTTCATTTCAAAAGCGTTTTTGAAATAGTATAGTGTGAGTATTTTTTTAAATATCTAATACTCTTTTGTGATATTTTTATTTGTATTGTGAATGACTTAATTCGAACTAAAAAAAGTTACATTGTATATTAAAAAAAAATAAATATGCGCTTCTAGTTTGGGGATGCGGCAACTTTTACCAAGAATTTCTTTCTTTTTGAGAAGCCTCTGAAAAAAGTTTCTAATATGGATTACGAATTTTGCCATTCATCGTACGAATAAAAATGTCACAAAACAATATCAGAAGCATTTAAAAAAAGCTACACATTTTATATTGTTCAAATACGCTTCTGAAATGGAAATTTTCTAATGTTGAGACCATCATGAATATGGTAACAATGACGAACTGATAATTAGAAAAAGTTACCATAGTTATGATTATGAATCTTGAAATGGTAGGTACATGAAAAACAAATAACATTACTGAAAAATAATATAAAGTTATAATTTCTTCTACGCGCATGGGTCAATATTACATCTATCCTTTTAATAATAATAAATTATACAGCAGAAATAAGGATACAAAATTATATCTTGACAAAGTAAATACATATATCTGTAGGTATACCTAAACTCATATGACTAAATAAATAAGACTCGTGAAAAGGATAGGAATAGCAGAATCATGAAAGCACGAGCGCCACCTCACAATGGGCCTGGAAAACACGCCATCGTTAGCACTATTTATGTATCGAAAACTGTAATACTAACTTGAACAGAAAAGTAATATTGGTATTAGAACCTATAGAGTTCGCTGGAAAAATTAAAAATTTGATGATATTACATGTATTCTTTCGTGCAGTAGCCGAACAAACTGATTGCAATCGGCAACTAGCCAATCATAATACAGCATTTTTAAAATTCTTAATCATGATTGGTTCTTTACTGTTGATTTCAATCACTTTGTTCAATACGAAAGAATACGTGTATTGAAAATTAGGTCACAAAGGGGATGTGTTCTGTGGATTAGGTTTGAGGTTATTTCTTCTCTATGTTGTATTCACAGATTAGAAAGTGGTTGTATTATGACTAATTAACTCGTAAGTTACCGTGCTTTTGATAATAATTGTTTTCTATTTTAGACTAAAATTTAATGTAACGCAAGAAGATAATTATAATTGTTGAATCGTTCATCTGAATTGTCTTACTGCTTTTGCTTGTTTTACTTTTTAATAGAAAATGTCTGGAATGATCTCACGTTACTGTTGTGCACCAAACTGCAAGAATACATATTATTTATATACCACAGATACTTCTTACAGAAATAAAAGCTTTTTCAGAGTTACTGCAGAGTGCAGACAGGAAAATGATTTGGATAGAATGTAAACCAGATTTTAACTTCATCAACGAAAAATGTTATTTTTGCGAAGACCACTTTGAATTAAAATGTTTTAGAAATAGTAGGAAGAATAGCCTCAACAAAAATGCAGTGCCAACAATATTTTGTGAATCAAATAGTATATCATCACATTTAGATTCTCTTAATAGTAACATTTACTTGAAAACTACTCTAGAGTCAGTTAAACAGTTTGTTAGTGAAACATTAGAAAATGCCGAAATTAATAAATGCCAAACATCAATGTTAGATGATTTTTCAGAACCACCATTTAAAAAACCAAAATACACTTATTCCAAATTGCCATCTCTAAATACCACTGCAAGTACTAGTACTGTTATTGTTGACGACGCCATGCCGGATGAAGTAGATTCAAATACTGGTGTAAGTACTTCACATAATACTTCATTTTGTCAAAACTTCACTTGTAAGTCGAATAGTAGACAACAAAAAACGCTTTTAAAATCTCTCAATGTAAAAAGCGTCTCAACTTTCAGATAAAAATAAAAAGTTTTATTATTTAGACCGTAAACAAAAAAATTTTAAAATTAAAAACAAAATTATAAAGTGTAGAAATAATTTGTCCAATGTTTGTAATATCACTTATTCAAGGTTATTCACAGATTTATCTCAACGTCTCGATCCTATTGGAGTAAAATTTATTGAATCACAAATTACTAATTGCAAAAAGAAACGTCCTATATATAACTCAGAAAATAAAGCACTTGCTTTAGCTATTTATAAACGGGGCCGTAGGTGTTATCGATTTTTACAAAAATTGTTTGTACTACCTTCTAACTCTTCCATAAGAAAATATTTAGGCCAAATACCTTTAGAAGTAAGAATCAATAAAAAACTTTTATGTAAATTATCAGAACGTGTAAAGAAAATAAATTTAAGATGTCGGGTTTGTTGTTTAGTATTCGATGAAATTAGCATTGTCTGCTAATTTAAGTTATGATATTTCTAATTCTATCGGATATATAGATCTTGGATCCCTGGGTAGACAAAATGTGGTAGCAAATCTACTGATATTTGTTACTCATACTATCAGTATTTAAATTTTCACAGAAAATAATAATCAGTAGTACATCAGTAGAACCAATATAGTTTGAAACAAATGTATCTAACAATATTTTTCATAAAGAGGGGAAAGGTAAGTATAATATGTCTATTTTGTATCACAGTAATCACTAATAATTAACCAATACCATGACCACAATACCACAAGCGTGACCGGTGTAGGCGCTTTGAGGGACGTCCTCTTGCTCTGGCTGGCCCCCGTCGGCCGGGGAGCGTCTTCTGGCGCTCTTCGTGTCTTGATTTTTTCCAGTCGACGCGAGAGCTAAAAGTATTCGAATATTTTAAGACTTTAAGCAAGTATTCGAGAACAACGAGAACTTTTAATAATCGAGAACAACTTGATTTTTCATTAGAGATCTCCCATCACAGTGAAAAACGTACTTTAAATATCACCACGGGCTGTGATGTGAAAGTCTTGAAACCCACCTCTTATGTATGGCGTCACGACAGAATACATATCTCTGCAGAGTATTCTGCTATGAGCATTCTTTGCTCGTAGGTACTCTGAGTGCCTTTCGATTTTACAAAAATAGTAGCTAATAGCAACTTAGAGTTACTCTGAACTGATATTAGTTGCTAATAGCTACTATTTTTGCCAAATCGAAAGGCCCTCTGGTGACTAAGCTGTGCTCTGGTTATAGGCTTTTTTTCGCGAGTGAATATTGGTGAATACGTCTGACTTGTAGTTACTGTTTCTATCTCTTTTAATCTTATTTCTAACCTTGTCTAACCTGAACAGATGGCGAAAATGTATATATTCACTATTCAGTGATATGTAGTATGTACTTGACGACTTTGACATATGGGTTTTAACTTCTAACCAGTAACCATAATTTGTCATCATTTATTGCTTCCAGTAATCTAGTGTTGTGGGAATTGGTGTTATATCTCACTATATAATATATGTATTTGCTTCAAATAAAACTGAAGGAATATATCAATGCTTTCTTTGGAATATTTTTAAGTGGCAAATTTAAAAAGCGTGAAAAGTATGTAGATTCTGACGTTGCAAGATATGCGAATATTCGACATAATCGTTATGGTAAGAGAATGGAAGGTTAGGTCGGTTTTTTATGTAATTCATACGAAAAAGACTTGAATTACAAATGATTCCACCAATATTATCTCTGGCCTAGGTCACAAAAAAAAAGAGGATAATCCTGAAGCAAAGTGGATTGCAAATATGTCCCATATAAAAAATTAATCTCACCATCAAGTAAAATATTTGCTGTTTCAACGTCTATGTTTACTAAAACATCTGTGCCTCTAAAGTTTAAATTTAAACTGGCCACTTCCACAACCATATCAGAATCCATCATTTTGCTGAACGATTTTTATACTCGTTCAAACAAAATGTCAAAATGAAAAAGGTTAAGTTACCAGCTGACAATACTAGTTGAATATACCAACAGAATATTCAGCTGAAGGGTGAAGAGTTCAGTCATTTGATCTAGACTTGTGACGTCACATAGTAGTTTAAATGACTGACTATTCTCGCAAAAACGTAATATTCACTCATACTACACATACTACAACATACGACTTCACTCGCGAAAAAAAGCCTTTGTTTTTGACTCTGACATTTGTAATTTGCGGTTATGTAGATGTCATATAATTTTATTTTTTATTACAATTTTAAAAATGAGTGTAAAATATTGGGGAGAAATTCCCAAAGAACCAACCAACAGCTTCATTACGCCTAATGTTACTGCAGATATAGAAAGATCGATGGATAAATTTTGCTTGGCAGAATACAAAGACGATAGTGACATGTTAAAAACCGAAGAACTTGTGTAAGAAAGTTTCTTATTTGCAAAGATTTATGCTCCCGAAAGTGATCTTAAATTTTAGATTACCTCCAATGGATCCGTTGGTATTATATTCGATTTCTTTACACAAATATGCCAACGACATGACGGAAATGATACGAGTGGCAGAATTGGCCACAGAAACAAATTTGATCCCACCAAAAGATGCCGCACCACCGATGCCCGTAAGGCCTGAAATAGACATAAGACACAAGAGAAATAATTTGAATTACATGCCTAAGGATTGTACGTAAGTTATTGTCTCAAAATGTAATCAAGATAATAGGAATCTTCTTTAAGGCCTTTTACTTGTGGCTGGGACGTAGAAATACCCGAATTGAGTGAAATTGTTGTGAAAAAACTACTTAGTAAAAGTGTAGCCACTCTGTTTGCTCATGTAGGATTTGAAAGTATGTTATAATTAGTTGTTTATAAATCATTACCAGAAGTTATTTTTAGCTACGCATCAAAGTGTTATGGATGTTTTAACTGACGTGCTAGAAAGCTTTTTTCAAAAGTTTTGCCACAAATTTGTCGAGGTAGTAGATGATGAAGAAAAAGGGAAGAATACAGGTTTTCCTGTGAGTCTAACTTAATCAATATAGATCAAGCAATTTAATGTTTAAATGTTGTTTGCAGCATGTAATTGAGAAAGTTTTAGTTGAAACTGGCATGGGAGGGGTGAAGGGTCTAGACGATTATTACTCTAACAGAGTTGTTAAATACGTCAGCGTTTTACAGAAACGATGTGAAGAACTAAATGACCACTACGTTTTGCTACTCATACCCAAAAGTAATTCGCCTATAGATAAATTCAGCAAGTAAGTGTTAGAAATATTTGAAATAATTTTCGTACACATCTTTATATTTGTATACTTATAGAATCGTTAGAGTAAAAGTTGAGGAAGATAAAGACATAATGGAGATCCACAACTCAGAGGTTCATTTTGCTTCCCTCGAAGGTGAACCTTCTTTATTGGAAACCGGATATCAATTACTAAATAGCTTAGAAGCTGAAGAAAAGTATGTTAAATATATTTTATGTTAATTTATGTTAAAATCAACTTGTTTCAGTTTGCAAAGTTTAGATGCAACTGAAGAAGATATGGCTACTGCCGCGCTAGGTGCAGTTTCCATTCCCTCGGAAACAGAAATGTGTTCGCTGTCGCCATTTGCTAAGAAGAAACGATTTAAATAATTTTTATTGGAGATGTGTCATAGTTATATGCATTTTGTATTAATGTGTCATTGTCAAAACGTCCATGGTGAAACTGGCCTTTACACAAATAATATCAGAATGAAAAAGAAGAATTTTTTTCGACTTTTCCCACAGTTTTGCTTTAGATATAATTTAATGTAAATTCGCCACCACCCTATTCTCCAAACATGATCCCTGTGACTTTTTTTTCTTATTTTCCAAACTCAAAAGGATACTCAAAGGACAATGTTTTTCGACGATAGATGAGATAAAAGGCAAAATCGCAAACTGTGCTCTAGACAATGCCTAAAAGAGACGTTCCACTAGTGTTTGTCAAACCGGAAACTATGTTGGCACAACTGTATAATATCACAGGGGGACTACTTTGAAAGGGATTGGATAAAAATTGAAGATTAAATAAATACTTTAAGAGAACATTAACAGTTCCGTCACTTTTTGATCAAACCTCGTATATTCAGTGGATTTTTATTTTTAATTAGATACATTAGTCCAAGCTTGAACATTCTGTTTCTCAAAAGCTATGAATTGCACTCGTATTTATATAACCCTTCCGACTTAAAATCGCTCAAAAGCATCAGAGACCTTAAAACTCGCCAACACTTCTTTTATATATGAGAATTTTTTGGCAAGTTCTTTTATCCACTTTTTGGTCGAGCCCGATTCTTAATTTGGTAATTGTTTAATTAGTTATATAAATAATAATTGTTAAAACTTTGCGAGTTCAGTTTATCATGATCATAGTTTCTTTTTGTAGCACTTTTGTTAATCATATGTTCGATTGGAATAATGGCTATTCTGAACAGTGAGGAACTCCAATCCCCACTCTTTGTGGTTTGACCATCTATATCGGAGTGCAGTTGTTTTTGGTTTTCGTCCAGTATGAATGCTATCAGCTGCTTTTAACTGTAGCGCGTATTTAGCGCTCATTCCTTTTTGAAACGTTTAATTTTGTTTGCAGTTTGATTACATTAATAACAAGTATGGCCTTTAAGGCAGTAAATTATCGTATAAATATATCGCTGTACACGCTTACAAAGACAATTGATTATGTAGGCAATTTTGTATTTTTTCTTTCCGATTAAATTATAAACTATTTTGAAAATGTGGCTAAAACAATCTAAAGCATTTTGTTCCTCGGCTATTAGTGAAATCGAAGAGTCGTTGTCTATTGCAAATGCTGCTTTAACAGATGAAAATCTGCACTCTCAATTAAAAATGCGATATAAAGAAATTGATTTAATTTAGAGATAAATTTGAGACACATCATCAGGCAATAATTGGTATATTATCTGTTTCGAGCTACTTTTAAACAAAAATTTTATAATTTTAAGGCCATCTGCTACGATTTATTTGAAAAAGATGTAGTTGATAATCTAACTCGTGTTAAACAACCTAATGTTAAATTACTGGATCTTGACACCTATATTTGATGGAAATTTTCAAAATTGGTCTAGTTTTTACTCATTATTTTGTTCGTTGAGACATAATCCTGCATTATCAGATATAGAGAAGTTTCAATATTTATTGCTTTTACTTAAAGGTCAACCTTTAAAAATCGTAAAGGGTTTGCCTATTATAGGTTCTAATTACGCAGTGGCTTTTAAAACATTGGTTAATAGATACCAAAGTAAACGAGTGTTAGGTACTACATATTGGCAGGAAATAATTGAATTAGATAAAATTATGTCAGAGTCACCCAAGGCTCTTAGAAATTTGTTGGATATACTCACATAAAATTTAGATGCTCTTGAAAATCTTGGCCTTCCGGTAAAGGAATGGAATTTTATTTTATATCATTTATTAATTCAAAAGCTTGATGTTGCTACCGTAACCCACTATGAATTGCATAGTAACAGAACCAGTCTGAATTTCCCTGTTTCGAGGATTTGCAAAAGTTTTTTTATCATCAATGTTCAGCTTTAGATACAATTGCTCTTGTAATGCCGAAAAATAAAAAAAATTAATCGTCTTAATAAACCAAATGTAAAATTTACAGAACAGAATAGATCGGCTTCATCTTTTGTTGTAAATAAAAAAACAATGCTAAACTGAAATGTAACCTTTCCAAAGAAAATCAGACATATAAATGTCCTAAATTTTTAGAAATTTTTTAAACGGTATGAATTTGTTAAGCGCTTTAATTTATGTCTAAACTGTTTAGGTATTAATTATATTTTGAAACTTTGTAAATCTACATGGACTTGTAAAATTTGTAAAGAACATCATCACATATTGTTACACTTTAAACAAGAAGCTTCCGATATAGAAACACACAACGTAAAAACTGCTAATGTCGTAACAAATATTAATCCGCAGCCATCTACTTGTTGTGAAGTAGTTACATCAATACCAGCTAATGTTTTAGTCAATGTTGGTAACTTTAAAACAACAGTATTGCTATCCACTGCCATAGTGGACATATTCGATTCTCGAGGAAATATTCACAGTGCCAGAGTACTTCTAGATAGCGCTAGTCAGGCTAACTTTATTAGCAAAAAATGTTGCAATAGATAGTCTCGGCTTATCTCTGTTTGATCTTAACGTATCAATTAATGGATCAGATACATTGTCATCTCAAAGTAATAGATCAGTCGACTAGAACGTGTCGTAGTACCAAGCTAAATGTGGTGTTTTATTATTGTTATTGAAGAACTATTATTTTTAAATGGAAAATCGTTGTTGACCCCCAAATTGAAGACCACCACCAAGACCAGAAGACAGTCAGTGGTAAGTTGTGGCATTATTATTGTTTGTATGGGTGTTCACCTAACACTTTCACGGAAATACAGTCTACATCAAAATCGTGCTGATAATAAGTATTTACACTAGTGGTCGTAGGTAAATTCCTTTAATTTCGAATTATACAGGGTGTTACAAAATTCGCGGACACGGACGTGGGATCATATTAAGCTCGATAAGGTGATAAAAAAGTGTCTATGATTTTTCAATCAGACCAGTATTTTTCGAGATACGGCAGTATGAAATATCCAAAAATAATAAAAATATATATTTATAAATTTCAATTTTCATTCATTAGATAAACAATTACGACAAACACGTTACAACAATTGTTCAAAATTTCCACCGTCTGCTGTTAAACATACTTAAGTACATTGTGCTACTGCTCTAATGGAGTTGCGTATCACCTCTAGTGTTATTTGCTGTATTGATTGAAACAGGTGGTTCTGCAATTTACTCAAATTTGCCACTGGTGGCAACTTTTTTAAGAAGCCCCAAAATAAAAAATCACATGGCGTTAGGTCTGAAGAACGAGTGGCCAAGCAAATGGACCGCCTCTGCCAAGCCAACCGCATTGCTTCACCTGCACGATTATTTGAAGATCCGAGAGCCATCAGCATATACTATTCACGATTTGAATAATTGTATTTTGCAGTTTGTATTGAAAGATACTTTTACAGTACTCTAACGATGTCAAAGCTTTCTGAATTATTATTAATTGTTATAGAGCTGTCTGTTCCAAACAATATAACAAATGACGCCAGAGATGGTAGGTACGCAACACCATTCGAGCTGTAGCACAATGTGCTGAACCATGTTTAGCAGCAGGTGGTGGAAATTTTGAACAATTCGTTTGTCATAATTGTTTATCAAATGATTAAAAATTGAAAATTTGTATTATTTTTGGATATTTAAAACTGCCGTATCTCGAAAAATATCGGTCTGTTTGAAAAATGATAGAGACATTTTTTTATGACTTTATCCAGCTTAACATGATCCCAGAGTCCGTGGCCGCGCATTTCGTAACACCCTGTATATCGAGGGTGTCATATCAGAAGGGCGTACGAACCAAATCTGACATTTTACATGAAATGAAAAAAAAGTTTTAAAGATCAAGGTTTAGAATGAATTTTGCCAATACAATAAGACCAATACATTATAGTTCATTGGGGAGATTTAACATCTAGTAAAATGCCATGTAATTGATTTCCGACATGCGCCACATAGTATACAAAAATATGTTTTATTAATATAATAATTCTATTAATACCAACAAAAATTTGTTACATTTAATTTTGGTGCCTTTTCCTATTTAGAAGTCGTTCTCGTACTTGTTGTTGAGACGTTTCTTCAACAAATTCATCATCGGAATTTTGGGAACTAATTATTACTGGCAAAGAAAAATAAAAGTATTTGTGTTCTGGAGGAATGACTGCATCTTTGCCTTGGCACATAGACAATAAATTGTTATATTTTAATTTATTTATGGAAAGAATCAGAATATAGCGATGTTGTAACATTAATTGGGTTTTTAAGACGTTACAAAACACCAAAAATTAACATTCACAAGTTTAACCAAAATTAAGGTTAAGTGAAATTTACCAAATCAGGTGAGGGCGTATAAGCCAATACTGTCTAGCAGATGTAAAAGAAATACAGAAGTATTAGGGGCGTATGAGCATACGCCTTTCTGATATGATTTTGCAAAATTGGTTCATACGCCTAAGTAAAATGTGTTAGATTAGTGTTGATGTTTATAAATATATACGCCCTTCTGATATATTAAGTAAATTGATTAAATGTGGTTGTATGCCCTAAAAACCCAAAACCGACTAGTGGCTCTTACGCCCTTCTGATACGACGCCCTCGATATATTTATTTTTGGTTACCAATTTGGGGGCATTCTGTATTTTACAAAAAATTAAAGTCAATTTTGTTAAAGTAATTTATTAAGTAGAATAAATTTGTTACCCACTCCAACATTTACAAACTCTAGCACTTGGATACATATGAACGATATAGAAAAACACTAAATAAAATATATTCTAATAACAAACACCATTATTCTTAGAATTATACTTATGATACAGAAAAACTAACACTAAATAAAATATATTCTAAAAAGAAAGATACACCGTTTTACACTGAAAATTAATTATTGGGATAAAAGAATCATATTGAAAGTAAATAATCGTCGAAACATGAACCAATTTCATACTGCATTTCACTGTCCCGCTCTCGGCTTAGGAATGAACGCCTTGTCTTTTCCTATAACGATCCTATTCATGATCTCGGCCACCGACTCGGGAGTATCTTCTGCAACTGTACCTCTTGGGATTTCAGGAAGATTCTGAAAAAAGAAAAAATGCCTCAAAACACATCACAACAAAATAACAGGACACACGACATTGGGCAACTTGCATGAAATTTTAATTTCTTTTATAATTATGTAAAATAGATTATTTTTAGACACTAAAAAATATATATGGGACGATCCACGTCAAATCGATCAAGCCTGTGCCCAAAATTTGAGAGCACCTACGAAGATGGTTTTCCGCTTAAAAAATTCGTCTTTCCAAGTACTTTAAAATGCTAATTGGCAGAATTGAAAAATCCAAGATGGCGGACATCTTATGTCCGCCATCTTCGTAGGTGCTCTCAAATTTTGGGCACAGGCTTGATCGATTTGACGTGGATCATATACAAGTTGCCCATTTGGAAAGGCTCGATAAATATCAATTTAAAATTAATAATAACGGAAACGAACATTTTTTTAATAATGGAAGAACTAAATTGTTGTTTCCAATACCCTGTCCAGTGGGGATGTACGATAATTGCCAAAATAAAAGTTGACAAGTTCAGATAATAAAATCTCTATAGAATTAATCAAAATACGTTTTTAATGAAAACATACCCTTCGAGCTCCAGGATGATTTCTGTTTGATTGTTGTGGCTGAATTGAAGATGACGGTATAGGTTTGTTGATTGACAGTTCATTCAATCTGTGCCGCTCCTCCATTCTAAAGTTCTTTCTTACTGCGGCGGATGCCACGTCCATGCGACGGATAACCACATTTGTTTCGCAATATTTCACAGGATCATATGAGGGAACATCGTACTAAGTAAAACAAATAACTCTAATAAATACCACGGACATTATCTCAAGTTAAACTTACACTATCCCATGATTCATCTGCTTGTACTTCAATATTGTGTACAGGAAACTTGTTAATGGGTACTCCTTCTTCATGGTAAACAGTGTGCTCGATTTTACGTCTATCTGGACAATTCTCGTGATGGTACTAAATGATTTGAGGTTATACAAACAATTACATATAATTTTTAATAAACCCTTACCTGTAGCTCTGGTTCTGGGACCTTATGGTTTACATTAAAGTCGCATTCTACTAATTTAGATTCTGGATAATTCCTTTTGCACTTAGAAAGGTGCGTATTCATGCGCTTTCTCATGATGTGATGAGCAGGGTTATATGGGCACATAATTTTTTCTTCTGGGCTGAAAATTAACATAATAATAAAAAATAATGAATCTATTTTGGTTGCACCATATGAGGCAACATTTTGTAACTGAACTGAATTATTTTTAAAATTTGTACTTACTCCGTCAGTAAATCCATTTTGTTTTGTCGATGAATTCACGTCAAACAGCCAATTACCAGTTTTCTCCAAATTTCCAATTATTTGCAACCTAGAAAAAAAATTGTATAAAAAAGTAATATATTGTGACGCATTTTAAGAAAACAAATAGTGGAGTACCTCCACAAAAAGTTTATTACTTTTCCTAATCATTTAGACTTTACTTTTCCATTACTATCCTGCAATCGAACATTCAACAAAAAGCAGAAAAACATATGTTAAAATATGAGCTGCTATTACCATTACCTTTTGCTGTTAACTCTGCTATTACCAATATTACCATTACATTGATTACTGCATAAGCGTACTGCGTACACAAAACATATAATAGAACTGCATTAGAATTTTAGAAAGTTCAGTAGTCATCAACAAACAACACTGAAATATTGGAAAGGTGACACTGACACAGATTATATAGAAAAAAGTCAACTCTCGAATCAGCTTTCTGTCTCAGTTCTCAGTTGGTTACCTATATACTATGCCCAGATAGCATTTGAGATTGCGCATTTAACTAAAAATACGAATTGTGTAGAGAATGCATAATGTAGTAACGTAAATTGACAACGTAATTTGTTTGTTTTTAAATAGTACCAGTACCTGAATTTAAAGTTTTAAGCATAAACATAAAAAGAGAATAACTGTCATTCATTTCGAGGAAAACTTTTTTTAATATACACTCAATACACTACTTTTATGTTTCAAGGTTCCCGCATTTAAAAGATAGGCGCAACCGTTTGGAGCGCTTTTATGTTAAGTTTTAGCACAGATAGAAGATAAAACAATAATTAATCGTCTGCGGCATAGGCCTACTAGCCTAGTACACCAGAAGCACGGTCCGTAAAAAATACGGACCGTGTATCAGAAGGCCTTTCGATTTGGCAAAAATAGTAGCTATTAGTAGATAATAGCAACTTAATTACTCTGAACTGATGTTAGTTGCTAATAGGTACTATTTTTGCCAAAACGAAAGCCCCCCTGTATATCATTTTTCCAAAGCATGGGTACCAGCGCAAAACAGATAATTGTACCAGTGAATGCAAATTGCGAGAAAGTGGTGTGCAAAAAAATCTAGCCACGCCTACTTTGAACAGATCCGCATTAAGTAATATTTTTTCATATTAAATATTATGTTGCACTTATGACAAATATTGATATTTCAAGTTCGGAATTCAGAAAATAAAATAATTTAAATATATTTATTGTCCTTTAAATGTTAGTTTATTTAATATTTATCGTTCAGTAGATTTCACTGAATTAAATATTTTAACTTCATGATTTTTCTCACATCAATATACGTCTCAAATACAGCCTTTACAAGTTCTATTACATGATTACAATTGTTAGCAAAATTATCCAATTGATGTTCATGTAAATGTTCAGATATGTTCAATAAGTTTTTAATACATGGTACAACTGAAACAGTTTTATTTTTCTGTAGCTTGTGTACCGTTTTTATTGTTATTAAAATTTTTTATTTTTTCTTGTTTCTTCTACGAAGTCTTAAGATGGATACGTCAAAAACCACCACAATCTTTAAGTAAAATTGACTTCACATTTTATTTGCTTTATTAGAGAATTTGTTACAAAATCACCAATACTATAACGTACTTGCTATATTTAGATAACTGAAGAGAATCAAATGAAATGTTAAAAAAATAGTGTTCCTCACTTTCTTCTTCCACATTTAATGACCCATTATATCTATTACGTTAACTGAATTTTTTCAATGGATGAACTGCAATATAAAATAGTTATACGAGCCAACAGAATACAATTTCCTGAAAATGATTCACCAAGTTCCATATGTCAATAATTTTTTATAAGCAGCTTTAAATTGCCTGCTCGTTGGATTATTGTTAAATCCACCTTCCTGCCTTGTGGTTATGGCTTACTTTCTACATAGGCACAAACTCAAATGGTTTTTTCTTCTATTAAATATTTAAGGTGTATTTTTGTACTATCAATGCAACTACAGAAACCAATAAAACCCATTTTTCTGCCTGTATCGATTAGATGTATATTATCAATTGTGTTTAAGTTTACTAAATAATTTTTTCGTTTGTTCGTTCAAAGGATACCCAAGATTTGTGATGTTAATTGGAGCTTTAAAACCCAAGTTATATACAGGGTGATTCATTAACAATGGGAAAGTCGAAAGCTGAAGATACTACACGTGAAATGGTGACGATTGGCGCAAACATGCCTTATCTGAAAGTTAATAGTTTCGGAAATACAGGGTGTTGAAAGTTACAATTTTAAATCGTTTTTTGCAATTATTCTGAAAATATGGAGGTTAGGAACTTGAAAATTTGTGAAACTATATTTTTTTAGGCGGCGAATAAGATGCGTGTTGTAAATTCGGCATTGCTCATAGAGGGCGCCACTTACGACCAATTTTACCGAAAATTTAGTTAATAACTTTTTACCCTGTATATTTAACATGAAACTTGATTCAAAACCTGAAAGAGCTATCATTTTTCCATTAATTATGTACTCTTGTTTCATTTCGGTATCTCGATCCCTTTTCGAGAAAAATCGATTTAACGAACACTATGTTTTGATAATACGAGAAATTAAAAGCGAAACAAACCAAGTGTTTCTTCGTGTTATTACAA